CCCCCCAACCAACCCCGCTGAAGTTTTTGAAAGGACAATTCTTATGCCCCCCAAGCCTGTGTGTGGGTTCGTCAACGCCGCTGATGAATGGGCATGTGACGTAGACATCTTGCTGGTTTTTTGGTATGTGTTCAAAACGTGTGGTAAGAATACACTATGCGTTAAGGAGATCAGAAAAGATCATCACTTGGGGGTAAACGCCTGGTGATTTAGTCAGTTCTGTGTGGCTTTTTGGGGACAGCTTATGAAGAATTCTTTCATGGACTCGCTCCTCTGGATATTTCGTTTTGATTCACATGTAAGTGTGGCATTCCTTTTGATGATGTTGCGTGATGTCAGTTGCTTGAGAGTTCTAGGTTAGTCGCACATGCACTTAGCTTGTGTGATTATTTGATGAAAGTAGCTGCATGAATGATTAACGTCAATTTGTGACTCTGGACGTGTGCATGCTCACCACCTGGTATACTGATGCAAGGCAATTCCCGTTTATCAATGAGCTCTATCCTTATTTTACGCCAACTTGGGAACATTTTCATTGCGAAAAAGTTTCGGTTTCAAAGTTAGCAGGGAATGATTATATTCCATTGTGGCAGACATGTTCAACTCTTTATGTGGGACGATATCACGATCTTTCGCGTCCACCCTCCTTGACTTTTTTAAAAACCTGTTTGAAATATTCAGAGTATATTTAATAAGATAACACATATCAGACGCGCCCTTGCCCGCATTTGGCGCCTAAAAAATCAATGATGGTGTACGTTCACATTTCGTAAATTATTTGTACGCGTGATGTGAACAGTTTGGTCAAATAGTATCAAAACATTTTTGAAAATTTCCAGTGATCCAGTTACAAGGTGATCTAGTGCATTTGTTTCTGGATTCTCCCATGCATACGATACAATGATGACCGTCGTGTTATTAAAGAATTTTGCTGTAAAAATTTTGCCAAATACAGCTGTGCAGAACACTGGCACAAAACAACTGTGCAGAACACTGGCACAATTAAGCTGTGCAGAACTTAGACAAACTATAGCTGTGCAGAACTTAGACAAACTATAGCTGTGCAGAACTTAGACAAACTATAGCTGTGCAGAAAGCTGACTCATTAATATGCATGTTCACGATAACACACATTCATTTACGTTTCTAATTGTGTATGATCTCCACACACCAGGATAATGCTCCATGCAAAACCTTTTACTGTAATCCTTAAGGATGCATTGGTATTTAGGATTACGGAGGGGTGGGGAGGCATGTCACATGGGGATGACCCACTTGTAGTTTGAAATCATTATTTGAGATTAAACAAAAAATTAAATAAAGCATAAAATTACATTATATCACACGAATTACGATTATCATAATCACAAGATAAATTACATTATGTAACTGTAACATGATGTCAGTCCCGTGTATTATTTATGAGCCCATCATTAATTGGGGCCGTCCATGTTTGTATTTATTTAAGTAGATTAGCTATGCCCAAGACAAGGCGCCGTCCCGATATAATGCCCGCCTTGTTGATGGCTTATACTGGCATTGCTAAAATTACAACGGACAGATGGCATTGGTAAGTCACATTGCTAATTACTACTGAAAAATGACATTGGTAAAATTACTACTGACAAATGGCATCGCTAATTATTATTGACAAGTGACATTGCTATTTACTACTGACAATTGGCACTGCTAATTACTACTGACAAGTTCAAACCGTTGTCCTTGTAACGTATCAATGCGTCAGTGCTTCTTATTTAAAAAATTTGAGAGGTACACTCCTGGCACAATATTAAAAGCACTTCATGTCTATCGAGCCTATCATTACTTTGTAAGGCTATTATGAACAAAATAGCCTCGGGGGGGGGGGGAATGGGGGGGAGTTACAATCAAGCTACCGCGTAAAACATAGGGGGGGGGAATAGCGTGTAGTTACAATCAAGCTACCGCGTAAAACATTAACTTAATGGTAGCGTGTGTCTTGGTGTGTTTATGGCGTGTATGTGGGGGGGGGGCGTTGAAAGGATCGATCAAGAACAATATGGTCCACAAAGAAATCTTTTGTTGTTGATCTACCATGTATCTGACAGACAATGTTTATACAATTGATTGGCAAGCCCACTCCAAAACCACATCGATAGAAGTTATTGAAACTTTGACGCGAGACATTCAATACCTATGTTCACATACGTGGGACATTCAATATATGAATTAAATATAATATAAATTATATACAAGAGCTTCTCTTACTTGGGGGTCTTCAAACTCTTAAGTGCTTTCTTTTAAAATTAAGGTGAGCAACAAAATTGTTTTAGAGACTATTCATGTCATTTGCCGCTAAACATCGAACAAACTATAATATTTTATTTCCAATGTCTTAAATGGGATTTTAGGTATCTCAGCCCATGCAAATTGTGTTAAACAATTGTCATTATTCAACGACCAAAAATTACATATGAAATAGTGTATCTTCTCTCCTATCCATACTCGTCCATTGAAAGGCGTAAATACCAATCGTGCTTTAAATAGCATTACTTTAAAGTAATTGGTGCCCTTCATCCGATGGATTGCAAAAGTACAATTTTAGAAAAGTTGAGCAATGAACAAATTAAAAGAAACATATTAAAATTATTTTCCTTCGACCCTGTCGTCTGATTTTTAATCATTTCTAACCAGCAAAGTAATTGTCCTGAGGCATGTATCAAGGCGAGGGTGGAGAGGGCAAGAACGAATTTTTTTTTCCCCGTAAGTATTTGGAACTCAAAAACAAATTAGGAGAAAGACACAAAAATTAGAATGTTTAACTCAAATGTGAAATCTGTTCTGCTGTGTGGCTCAGAAGGATGGAAATTAACAAACGAAGATTGGAAAAGACTGCCAAACTTCTTGAAGAGTTGGCTGTGTAAAATACTCAACATCAAGTGTTTCCAAAACAGTCACAAACACAACTGTGAGGGAAACGGCATCACAGATCCTTGTGGAGTGAGAAATCTGAAAAATAATGTGGATATGGATAGGTCATCAACGTGAGAACACCCACACATGCAATATGTAGTAAAATAAGCACCGGTGTGGAGCACACAAGGATTGAGAGGTCGAGGAAAGATAAATGGGGAAGAGATGTGAACAATGATGTCACAATGACTCCAAAGATTTGGGGAAAGTTTCAAATTACATTTGTATTACACAAAAGTCCCAAGCACAACAATGAGTGAAAGGACATCTCAGTGGAGAAAGAAATCCCTGAAAAGAAGATGGAGATGAATATAGGTCATATTTTTAGACATTAGTAAAGAAGATGAGATGAACACATTTAAATAAGTATTGAAGATGAGTTGCACGCATTTACATTAGTTTTGGATATTAGATAAACATATCTAAATAAGTATTGAATATGAAATATGTACATTTTAACTACATTTTCATATGATGTTATAAAACAAATTTATTGATTTCTTAAAATCTATTGCTGTTGTTTTTTTTTTTTGGTTGTTTTTTTTTGTTGTTTTTTTTGTTTTTTTTTTTATTTAGGATATCACGAATTTTCGGATAATTTGAATAAAGCAAGTTTTATTTCTAAAAAAAATATTTTTAGATATTAGATAAACATATCTAAATAAGTATTGAATATGAAATATGTACATTTTAACTACATTTTCATATGATGTTATAAAACAAATTTATTGATTTTTTAAAATCTATTGCTGTTGTTTTTTTTTTTGGTTGTTTTTTTTTGTTGTTTTTTTTGTTTTTTTTTATAATTAGGATATCACGAATTTACGGATAATTTGAATAAAGCAAGCTTCATTTCTAAAAAAAATATTTTTTTCAGGTGAATATCATGGCTAGGACTTTTTTTGTGGGAGACGAAACAGAGTAGAGCCCCAAAAGGCTGTGAAAGAGCCCATTCTTCTAGGGACTGAAGCTGTCATCATGGCAGGATCCCGTGCTATAGATAAACTAAGGGTTCAAGGCTGCGCCACGCCGCGTCTCACCACCAAGAACGACAACTCTGACAACTTCCGGGAACGCCCCAATGCCACGCATGTCACAGGGGAGCTCGGTGACAGCATGCCGGTTCTAAATGATTTAACATCGACTGCCTTCGGTAAAGAAAATATGTCAGTTACAAGACTCGGGCCTGGCAAAAATGATTTCCAGCGTGGCGTCAGCGTTCTCGTCAAGCCTGATAATGGTAACATATTAAGTGAAAACTTGTTCCTCGTTCGAGGTAAGACGCTTTCGTCCGAGGACATCATTCCTGGCTCAAAACAGAGAACGGTGCGGAAGATGAGCAAATCTGAGAGCGGTGAGACCACAGGCCATCATGTAGATACAGTTGACAGATTTTCCTTCGGTCACTTGAGGGAATTTCCTGAGAACGCACAATTAGTTGAAGAGTCGTACAGCGACGATGTGGTGGATTCGAGCGCGAGTATCTCAACGCTGAGTTCAGCTGGTTCGGTGGCAAGCAACCCCGTCGTGTATAACAAAAGGAAGCCGATTAGCGAATGGCTCGAGGCGAAGATGGCGACGCCGCTGTCTCTTCAGCGCAACAACAAACTGCGCCACTCGTATCACGGGACGAGAGGACTCGCTTTGACTGGTCAGAAACTGCAACAATCCCGTGACCCAGATGTTGACCTCCAGCTTTATGATGACGCGGACAACCCATCACCCCGCCTGGTTGATTCAGGAGCCGCTGACCAACATCCGTTTTTAAGTCCTGCGCCGACAGCTCGGCGCAGAATTCGACCACCAAAATCAAATTCACCGATCGAAACTAAATTTTTCGCCACCGACCCATCTTTACGTCAGCGGTGTCTCCGGGTAAAGCTTCCCAAGCAGTCAGGGTCGGATCCCATCGTGACATTTAACGACGGCGTGAAGACGACGCCTTTCTCGCATTTCGCCAAGATGGCAGACGGCACGGGAAATATGCCAAGCTCAGAAAGAGCCGCTAAGAAGCAAGGAGATTTTGTGTTGACTCAACAGGAGCGCTACAGCTTCAACTCCGTTGACAGTTACATTAATTTCCGCAGGGTCCAATCTCAGCTGGGCGTCAGGAGTCAAGACGAATCGAAACCGTTAACTCGTTCTGCGTCATTAAAATTTCTGACGAGAATACAACCGGACGGATCTTTCGCAGCCGTCACTGACCGGATGTTGAGGTCAAGTCTGGGTAATAAATATCCTGGGGTCAGGTCTGCGGTTCCGAAAAATAAGTTCATCAAGGACGAATCAGACTCTATGCAGGTGGTGGGCATCGCATCAGTGAAGGAACCACTGATAAAATTTGCCACCAAAGCAAAAGGCAATCGATCGATAACTCGTGCCAACTACAGCTGGGGTCAAGTTACACAAGGTAAAATAGAGGACCCCCTGACACCAAGAGCTGCGTCAATTGTTTCCAACAAGGAAGAGCTCGACCGTGCCGGAAGCGCGGACATCAAAGGGGGTGAAGCAGGAGACGACAATAAAGGGGCGTTAAATGACGCATTATATCATTCAAGGGAAGCCAGCCGTGAAGTTGGTTTTGAAATTATGAAGACTCGCATCGATGGCACGAGAAGCGAAAGTTATCTGGATTCGATGAACAAGGCCGACGGCCTACTTCATGCAGATGCTGAGAGTATCGAGTCAGCCGGGCAGAAGGACAACAGTGTTCACTCGGGATCGATACGGTCATTCCCATGTGACGCTGACAATGAACTCACAGACAGCAATGGAATAGGAAGTGGCATCGATATTTAAGATTGTCTTTCGCTCTTGGGGTGAAATAAAATGTTGCATTTTTGCGGTGTAGCCAAAGTTAAGATAACTTTGCACGCTAATTATTTTTTTGTTAAATATTTGAACTTTATTTTAAATTAAATTCAAAATAGATTGTTTTAAAATCTATTTCTCGTGATCTAACGAAAATTTTAAAAACTTCAAATCATTCACTAATGGGATTTTTAATTCAGGAAATCTTTTTACTAAAATCAGTGGTTTTCATATATTTTCTTTTTTCAACGAAATTTTAAAGGATTAAAATTTAAAAAAAATTAAAATCTAAAATGAAGGAAACAAAAAATTAAATTACGTGGCGGGAAGAGAGACTTTATCACGTGACTGTAAATATATAGTTTTATAATTTATAACATTACATGAATGAATTATGTGCGAGCTTGTGTGTTATTGTTGAATGAATTTGCGATATAAGAAAAAAAAATACATATCCGGTTAAAATAACGTCAGGTCGGGAATTTCTTCCTATGACTTAAAATAATTTTATATGATATATGTCCTGCATTTTTTTAACGCATAAACATGTATCATTCATTCTATTTATTTTTGCTATGGCTTGAACATAATCGTTTAAAAGATGTACGTGATGTAAATGATGCTGAGACTTCTTTACACATTTCTAACGATTCCTTAAGACAAAGTTCGTTTTCAAAACTATTAGACAGCAACACAGAGTGCTGCAAAGTACGTCAAGTCACTTGGTGTTGCTGTTTTTTAACTTTCACTGAAATTAATTACATGTCATTATAACTGCTTCAAAACATCATCTCTTGTGGGTGGGGTGTTGTTTTTATAGTACGACGGTTTACCAAATAAAGTATTAAATATTGGAGATGTGACTATTCATGTTTTAAATATTGGAGATGTGACTATTCATGTTTTAAATATTGGAGATGTGACTATTCATGTTTTAAATATTGGAGATGTGACTATTCATGTTTTAAATATTGGAGATGTGACTATTCATGTTTTAAATATTGGAGATGTGACTATTCATGTTTTAAATGTTGGAGATGGGACTATTAATGTTTTAAATGTTGGAGATGCCCAGCCCTAGGCCGGGGTACCGCGCTATATAAGACCACTTATTATTATTATTATTATTATTATTAGATGTAAATATTAAAGTATTGGATATTGGAGATGTGAATATTAAAGTATTAAACATTGGAGATGTGACTATTCATGTTTTAAATGTTGGAGATGGGACTATTAATGTTTTAAATGTTGGAGATGTGACTATTAATGTTTTAAATGTTGGAGATGTAAATATTAAATTATTGGATATTGGAGATGTGAATATTAAAGTATTAAATATTGGAGATGTGACTATTAATGTTTTAAATGTTGGAGATGTGACTAATCACGTTTTTAAGTTTTTGGAGATTTAACTATTAATTAAATTTTAAATGTTGGGGATGTGACCTTTTCATATTTCTTTCATTGCAAGAAGTGTCTTACGTCAGCTTGACTGACCAGGTTGTGGGGGTTTAGGTGATAGATATTGTGATATATGTAAGAGAGTTGCCCTGGTTCATGCAATGAAGGTCAGTTTTCGTATAAATCCTTGATCGCATGTAAGTTTGGGCAATTTTAGGTATGGGGCTGAAAATTTGATAACACACACAGACAAGCATGTAACGCACTTCATAAGCATCCCAATTAGTGCTTCCCATCCCTCCCCCAATCTCCCAAGTCTCGCAACATCTCACGCCCCGGATCTATCGTAATATTCTAATGACCCGCCCACTTTTACATCGTAGAATATATTACGCACCAAACGCACTTGCGATATTCATTATTTTGTATGATCTCATTTAGCGCAGTTATCGTGGATTTTATCCCTTGAAATCATTGTCATCCTATTACTTCCCTCCTCTTCCCCTTGAAAAACAGTAAAACAGACTTTTGAGTGGTGGTTTGGGTGGGGGGGGGGGAGAGTTAACCGACAGAAGATTTTGTCAGCCAATAAGAGAAGCGAGTTAATATTAAGTTGTTGTTTTTTTAAAGATTATTTTACATGTATAATATGTATTCAATGTATTGTGACACTGTCTCCCATACACAAGCCCCTTCAGAAACTATAGACAACTCTCTTAATTTCAAATAAGGTAAGCGCTAATTAATAAAAATGGTCTTTTTTTTTTACAATAGTATATTTGTTAGTATATTTTAAATTGAAACTTATTAAAATTAATAATTTTGTTGTTGTAATTATTATTTTTTTCTATATGGGGCTTTGAACATCCGAGATAATTGTCTCTATAGGCATCTGTAACCACAGTCCTAAAATGACCAGTAATGAAAGAAGACGCGTGAGAATTTCTGTTCGTTTTTTGTTGTGTTTTTTTCATTTAACAAAGCCGATTCTAAGATGACCGGACCGACCTGTCAGCAGTTTCTAATCTTTGAAGGACTACATTTTGTCTTAAAGTGACTTTCTGGCATGCTGGAGGATGATAAAGTTCAAGGTCACACCGACAGCTGCTTATCTCAAAGTTTTAAAGACACCAAGCCATCTGGTATCGTAAGCCCATTAACAAAGATGTGAAAATATCAGCTGAACCCTTGTTCCTCCTAGGTTTCGTTACGTTTTATTTCTACATTTTTGCTGAAGAAGTAATAATAACTAGATATAGCCCGCCAAACCTTGGCCAATAGCAATGCGTGAACTTCCCATCTACTAAGGTTACTTGACAAAACATGAACTCAAGTAACGCAAACCCACATTTAAGAATCCCAATTTTCGCAACACACCTTACACCCATGATACGTCACTGCACACTTTTTATTTCACGCCCATGAACTATATTAAATATTCCGATGTTCCAATCACCATTAAACGGAATATTTTTTCCACCACACAAAATTGAGACGATTTCATTTTCCAAAAAGAAAATTTTATGCACCAAACGAAGTAGCGTTATAAAAAAATATAAATATCCTTTAGCGTAGTTATCGGGAATTATATTTTACGAGCGATTGAACTCACTATTGAACCATACTTTCTTTAAAGCATTTAGAATCATTTGTAATATACTCTCAATATCAAATTCGCCGATTAGGGAGCAGTCGCTCAGGAAGCAGTCCACGAGTCGCTCCAGAAAGGTAATATATATGACGGATACAAATTATGTATTTTATGTGATAAAAATGCAACTCCCTCTGTGGTCAGGCACGTGAGAAAATGGGGCACTTTCAACCTGGAGATGGAGGATTTGGAATCCTACTGATACAGGTGCTAAACAATTGATTTATTTCGATGCCGGCAGCTGCAACTAGCAAAGTGGTCGGCAAATCACGGCCCGCGAGCCGCATGGGGTCTTTGCGACATGAGTGCGGCTCGTCCAGTCTGCAAAATCGGTTTTGACTCCGAAAAACATGGTTGTTGACAGGTTTCTTGAAAAGAAATGTGTCTCTCTAAAATGTTTGAATCGTTCTCCTGCTGATTTTGGGTCATTTTGACCAATGAGTTTGCCGAGCTCTGAACTAGCGTGTGTAATATTTGACGGTGTCACGATCTTAGGCTCGACCACCACGTCAATGAACGCTTGGGACGTTACACGGAGGCATACCTCCATTAGTTCCCCCTAAAGTAAGCCACGTCAATGAACGCTGGGGACGTTACACGAAGGCATACCTCCATTAGTTTCCCCCAAAGCAAGCCATGCATGAACATCTGTGACGCTACACAGGGCATACCTCCATTAGTTCCCTCAAAGTAAGCCATGCATGAACATCTGTGACGCTACACAGGGCATACCTCCATTAGTTCCCTCAAAGTAAGCCATGCATGAACATCTGTGACGCTACACAGGGCATACCTCCATTAGTTCCGTCAAAGTAAGCCATTCATGAACATCTGTGACGCTACACGGAAGCATACCTCCATTAGTTTCCCGCAAAGTAAGCCACGTCAATGAACGCTGGGGACGTTACACGGAGGCATACCTCCATTAGTTCCCCCAAAGTAAGCCATGCATGAACATCTGTGACGTTACACGGAAGCATACCTCCATTAGTTTCCCCCAAAGTAAGCCACGTCAATGAACGCTTGGGAGTTACACGGAGGCATACCTCCATTGGTTCCCCCCAAGTAAGCCACGTCAATGAACGCTTGGGACGTTACACGGAGGCATACCTCCATTAGTTCCCCCAAAGTAAGCCACACGCCCGATATCACCTCATTCCACAAATATCCAGAAGGTCTCTTGCAATTTTTAAACATTTGAAGACAATTTTAACATAAAAAAATCTTTAATGAATCGGACAGCGGTAATTGGATATTTGGATATAAAAAAATACATGGATGTTACTTCACTGATATCACAACAATTATTTCATACAAACTTTTACCTCAAACACACATTTGTGTTCCTGTCCAAAGATGCTAGACATTAACGCCATCTCAATAGTTCGCCAACCCTAACCAACATCTCCAATTTCCCTAACCATGGAAGCAAACTCTCCTGATTACCTCGTTTATGACATCCAGCTGTTTTGAAATCGAAGCATAAAAAATTAATTACTTTTTTTTTTAAAGTCTTTTAATAAAGCCGAGTAACTTTGCCAGCAGAAATGACTTATGCACTGCCATTACGTCCTCTTGTTTTGAACATTGATTTTTACGCAAGAGCGCATTCACCATCTAGAACTTGTGTCTGAAGACCGTGGATTTATTGCGTCACGAAGGTTTCTAACTAGTGAGTTTGGCGTACTTAATGTGTCACGTGTGCCTAATGTGTCACGTGCACCTAATGTGTTACTTGTACCTAATGTGCTACGTTTAACTTACGTGTTAGAAATGGGGGAAGGGAAACAAAGAAAAGGTTCACAGAACAAAAATGAGCTTGCTGGTCCGTTTCCGTTATAAACACGTTATAGAAAAGATTATACCAGAGATTTCTTGGTGTGGTTTTGCGCTTTGACTTTAAATGGCGCTTTTATTGGCATTATCTCCTGATTTCCCCAAGAATAAAGAGAAGAGCGCAAATATAGACTAAATGCACAACATTAAAATTAAAAGTCAGTTATGTTGAAAAGAGAAAAAAGGAAAAAAAAACTTGGACCATGAAATTTTAATCAAATGTAAGCCAACACATGTATTAAAATTAGGTTGTTATTTATTGCGGCATAATAACAAGTCGTAAAACATTTGTTTGGCTTATCTTAGCACACGACTCTCTGGTCTTTGCAGGCAGGGGCGCTGATGGGATCGCAGATACCTGGATATGAAACAAATGGTTCACATGGGATTATGTGTGATTACACCAGCTTCATCATAATGAGATTGTGTGTGATTACACCAGCTTCATTATAATGGGATTATGTGTGATTATACAAGTTTCATCATAATGGATTATTTTTTTTATTGTACCAGCTTCATTAAATGGGGATTTTTTGTGCTATATCAGCTTCATTATAATAGGATTATTTGTGATTATATCAGCTTCCTTATAATGTGACTTGAATCAACATGCGAGGCAATCTCTTGTATTTATACACGATAAGGTGTTTTTTATTGTTCGTACATCGAATATCGACGATGACCATCGTCCGGAGACTGATGACTTGCGCGGGTGACTTTTGTTTAAAGTGAGGAAGAGTTGCGCGGCGTCAACCTCACTCTCTCGTCCGAGCCCACCATATCCAGTGGCAAGACTCTACTCTACGTCAAGACGACCAGGGATGGGTACGGTTGCAGGAATCGTCATTGTTTGCCCCTTACGAGACTCCAACTCCGGGTTTGAATTCAGAGTTTCCTTCTCGGATGAGTTGCCGACCAAGGTTAACGAGTCTCATCCACCCGGTGTCATTTTTTTTTACTTGACTTTGGCTAGAATTGAACTCCAGACCACCAACTTGAGGTTTGCTCACTTTAGGCCATTCGGCCACGATAAGTATTTTAAAATTGGAACTGTTTTTATTGTCGTAAGATTTGAATCATTTCTACCCAATTCTAAACTCTTTAAAAAAAATTTTTTTTTAAATTTCCAGTGACTGCGACTTAAAAAAGTTTCTGAATAATATAATTTAAAATGAATATCAGAAATAATATCGTGTCTCAGTACGGTAAGAGTGAATCTAGTCTGCTGATCTTCAAGCACCAAAAAGCATTTTTTTTTTTCAAAGTACTAGTATCCCCATGAAAACATTATAATGAAATTTTAAAAAAATACACAAATTTTCTCTTGACATTTCATGAAAATCATCGCTGTCCCTAGGGACCTGCCACTAAAACAATCAAAGGCATCACATTAGGCCTAAACGTTAGAACACTATTTACCCGGATGGCTAAGGGGTGGAAGCACCGGTGCATTATTGGTGGGTGTCCAGATGCAGCCGGGATCTCCTAGTTCAGCACCGTTTGTCTTGCCATCGAGGTCAGAGTCCAGCTTGCAGAGTGCTACGGTCCAGATGAGATTTGCAGCTTCGAAGTCCTGACCGAGAGGATGACAACATTGGGATCAGTTTACTGAGTCAGTGTCACGTTATAAAGACATCATTAGGATTAGTTTACGGAGTAAGCATCACGCTATAAAGACATCATTAGGATTAGTTTACTGAGTCAGTGTCACGTTATAAAGACATCATTATTCCAAATATTCCAAATATTCCAAACATTCCAACTATTCCAAATATTCCAAACATTCCAACTATTCCAAACATTCCAAATATTCCAAATATCCCAAACATTCCAAATATTCCAAACATTCCAAATATTCCAAACATTCCAAATATCCCAAATATTCCAAGCATTCCAAATATTCCAATCACTTACAACTCCGAATGGGTTTCTTTCGCCGCCTCCAGAGATGTTGAAATGGCCAACTCCTGGCCACACGCCACCAGCTGGACATGGATTTGGAACTTTGTCACCATTAGGAATGAGGCCCTTAAATGATGGGTGGCCGAGAATAACAGTAGCGACTGCCAGGGTGAATACCGCCAATTTCAACATTGTTCCTGTAATATTAAGACTTTATTTTTTTATTTCTTAAGATACTTTTATCTAAATTTCTCAACAAAAAGAAATTTAGCTAAATCGTAAAAATTAATACTGCAGGCACAAAAGATAAAAAGTAATTTAAACTTTTCAATAATTGTCAATAACTTTTTATCTTTTTTGGGGTAATTAGTCACATTTGTCCAGCAAAATTAAATAGAACTGCTCAACTGGACCTTGACCTAGCATTTTAAAACGAATCAAGACGACAAATGTAAACAAACGAACGTCTGTCTTGAGGATAGTTGAATTTAAAATATCGCTACACAGGCCAACAACAAAAAATGTAGCTATCTTTTAACAATGAGATTTCGCTCTGTGCCTAATGCTATTTTGGGGCGCTGATTCCAAAAATAGGGCCGCATTTATCGTAACAGCTTTAGATGTTGTTTTTTTTAAACATGACCTGAAGTAATTTGAAAAAACTTGCAGTTCCCTAAAGCCTTTTAAGTTCAATTACGATGATTGGGATTGTCAGAAAACTAAATATTTCAACGGGAAATATAGTATGTATTTACATTACCAAACATTTTATTTGTGCATAAAGACATTTTCTACTTCCATTTTATTACAATAATAATTGCACTTCTATTTAGCGATTTGTTCAAAGGATAAAAATTGACTTTGTGCATCATTTTTTATTTAATTATGTTTTAATATATTTCATGTTTTTATATTTAATTTAATAAGCATCCAGCCTGAATATTTAAAAAAAAGCTGCATGTAGATTTCATTTTCAACATGTAGGAAATTTGTTCTAAGTTTGAAAAAAAAAAATATTTTATAGGTTAATAGGATGCTATGGTTGGAAATGAAGATTAGCCATGGGCCCAGCATATAATATGCGAAGATATGTACTGAGCTGGAGATCTCTACAAGAATGTCAGCCTCAGCATTTGAGGCGAAATGATTTACTATCATCCTGGAACAAACATTACAACATCTCTTAGAGGGTTTGCTGCGATTTCATGTTTTTTGTTTTTTTTATTTGTGTGTGGGTGGTTTCTGTTAACCGAAGACAAAAATAGTTTGTGTTTCGGAACATAAATCACGTTTATGGCGAGTTTTCTTAAACAGTCAAATTGTAGTGTTAAATGTATTCTTCGAGTAAATGGCAACAGGCATTGGGCGCCCGCAGAAAACTTTCTAGGGGGGGGGGGGCAAAGAAAATCGATTAACTTTATAGAAGGGGGCAAAAACAAATTTAGTAATGTTTTAATGTAGTTTTAATTTACTGTAGCGTATTTGTATGGTGAACGAACGGACAGGACATCAGCGTAGTTACTTTCTCTTTATTTTCCTTTTACTTTAATAAATTTTTTGTCTATTTTTGTCTAAAAATTTTTTATCCAATCAATCCAGGGGGAGCCCCCTTGCCCCCCTGTGGACGCCCATGGCAACAGGTATTGTTGTTTTTTTTCCATCAGTCAATTCCCAGGATGAAAAAAAAAATAAAACACGTCAATCTCTTTAGTTTTTTTGTTGTTTTTTTTTAATTTGTAAGGTAAATTACTTTTTTTTTTAAATTAAAATAAAAAACATTTTTGGTTCATTTGTATAGAATTGTAAATGGTTTTCCCATTTGTTTACAAAGTGGCAACACGGGTGTCCTTGCTTTTCCTGACTTTTTTTGGAATAATAAACATTTTTTTTTAATATAACAATATAGCCAGTCAAGAAAATTTAGCAAGAAAATATTGACCTTTGAGGAAATATGATGGTCCGAGGAAAAATTTTCAACAATCAAGCTTGAGTAACCTAAGATAGAATCACTCTACTGTAATTTATAATGTAATATTACATATAAATCTAGCTATGTCTGATAAAATGGTTTGTAAACGCTTATAATAAAGCATACAATGCACATCGAAAATAAAATATTCACACAGAAAGTGAAAGCTGGATTTTTTATTTTTTGTTGATCCACAGATCAGAAAACGAATAAGTGACGTAGCTTTCATAAAAATCAATGAATGATATGGAACCGACTTCCTGCTCTTTTTTTTATTCTTCTTGTGGAAACAACAACAAAGAACTTAACTGCAATTACTTAGATTGGTGTCAAGAGAGCCTTAGGGGAAGAGTGGAGTGAAGTGAAAGATGCGTACTATGACCATTGCCAGCAATGACAACTTACATGAAATTCACATATGATGGAGTTTTTTTTTTTTTTTTTTTTTATTTTATATTTAAAAGGAATTTTTTTTTTTTTTTTTTTTTTTTTTTTTTTTAAATCATCTTATTCGACTTTGTCCTGTAAGACCCTAAGTTATCAAGTCAAAGTAAAGGAAACTTCATTTGTGGGGAATTACAATACACGTTTCCCAGTAATCTGTATGTTTGGACATAAAATAATCACATGATAATGAAGTACGCTTTTCTTTCAGTAAATAATTTCAATATGATATTTCATGCTTAATAATAATGACATATATTCAATATTCTAAAAATAAACAAAAATAAAAAAAATACTAAAACCGTTTCTGGAATCAGCAGGGCAAATAGACTTGGAAAAATGTATACCATTCGTTGCGACAAATTTTGTGCTGGCCAGTGTTACCGATCGTTAATCAAAATTATTATATGCTAAAGCTCAGTTCACACGATCAAATATTAGTCAAAATTTGTATAACTTTTTTTTTTTGAACGCACTATTTTGTAAGACTAAATCTATATTTTGTAAGACACAAAATATATAGTGGGTTTAACAAGAAATTTGACGAAAATTTGATCGTGTGATCTGAGCGTAAAGCTCATTTTAAAAATGATACTTTACACAGAACGCCGTAACAGGTAAATACGAAAACCCTTTCAGCAGTTTCAACAATCTAATGAATACTTTATTTAGCCTTTGTCTCACCTGGTTTATTTTATCAATAAGGCTCTGCGATATTATTTCTGCACCTGGACAGAACTGGCGCGCACTTAAATAAACTTGGCTAATCAGACGTCTGGTCAACCACGCTGAGAGCCAAGGAATAGATTATTTGTTTTGTTTTTGGTTTTTTTGTTTTTTTAATATTCATGACGTTTAGAAAGGCCATCAAGTTCAGACGTTGCACTTAAAGGTTCCGTGAAATCCTTACAGGTCATTTTTAATCATTTAACGGATTCCCAGTTAACTCTTTTGTGCTATCACTGGGCTAAAAGGCTGTCTGCAAAATCATGTTTTAGTTTTTTGCAATAAAGTTCTTTGGGGTTTATTCGTGTCATCAGTTGCTATAAAAATCTGACCGTACAAGATCAAAAACTCGCCTTAATGACACGGCAAACAGGGCACGATAACTTCAAGGAACATCCTTTCGTGGTATCATGGCGATGTCACAGATAACTAAAGCCTTTTGTCTCTAAAAGATGTGTTACGATTCTTTAGCAATAAACTAAACAGGTGGAATATCCGATCATTCCTCGTCACAGGTCGCGTTTAAAAAAAAAATAAAAAAATTCTAAGTTTATTTTACATTCGGATAAAAAAATGAAAATCGAAGATACATATTTTATGTTTCTGTTCAAAGCATGATGTTTCAATAATTCATTTTTATCATTTTTTCCTCAATAAAGGAAAACATAATCAATTTTTTACCAGTTGATGAACGAAATAGTTCGTGTGCTAAACTTTTCTAAAAATAGGAGAACATCAATTGTTAAATGTTAATTTTTTTCCTTTAAGATCTTTTGGTTGGTGGTTGGTGGTCGGTGGTCGGTGGTCGGGAGGTCGGTGGTTGGTAGTCGGTGGTCGCTGGTTGGTGGTCACTGGTTGGTGGTCGGTGGTTGGTAGACGGTGGTCGCTGGTTGGTGGTTAGTGGTCGCTGGTTGGTGGTTAGTGGTCGCTGGATGGTGGTCGGGAGGTCGGTGGCTGGTAGACAGTGGTCGCTGGTGGGTGGTTAGGGGTCGCTGGATGGTGGTCGGGAGGTCAGTGGCTGGTAGACGGTGGTCGCTGGTTGGTGGTTAGTGGTCGCTGGATGGTGGTCGGGAGGTCGGTGGTTGGTAGACGGCGGATGGTAGTCAGGGGGTTGGTGGTTGGTTGTCGCTGGTTGGTGGTCGGGAGGTCGGTGGTTGGTAGACGGTGGTCACTGGTTGGTGGTTAGTGGTCGCTGGTTGGTGGTCGGGAGGTCGCTGGTTGGTGGTTAGTGGTCACTGGTTGGTGGTCGGGAGGTCGGTGGTTGGTAGACGGTAGTCACTGGTTGGTGGTCGGGAGGTCGGTGGTTGGTAGACGGTGGCTGGTAGTCGGGGGGTTGGTGGTTGGTTGTCGCTGGTTGGTGGTCACTGGGTGGTGGTCGGTGGTTGGTGGTCGCTGGTTGGTTGTTTGATGACGAGTGCAATAATACTTATTGCTTACAGTGAGCTCTGCACTACACGCTGGCCAAACTATTGAACATCTGTCATCTTATCAGTGTGCCACGTAAACACATAGATTTTGTTGATAAAGTTGAAGTTTTAAAAGCCGGTTTTTGTTAATTTTAAAAGAAACAACAACATAGTCTTAGGGTTTAATAATTGTAAAACGGCATTTGGCCAAAACGTCATTTTAATTAGTCTGTCTTTTTTTTTTTTTTCAAGCCTTATTGCACAATTTATTGAAGATGACTGAAGTGTTGAGCTCAAACCACACGATTTAATGTTCTATTAACCTTAATTAAATCTGGCATCCATTTTTACACTCAAAAAATATCGTTGTACACATTAATTAAAAATAGGACTTAATTTAATGAGAGATGATTATTAAATGTTGAATAGATGAAGCCCATTGTTTCCATTTCTGAATGACACCATCTGAACAACAAATGTGTGAGTCTTAGACGCAAGTGAAGACTGCAGCCTTGTATGACGCAGTGTCCTAAATTTATGTGGAATTGACAAATTTTAGACACAAAGGAATAACCTAAAACTGTACACATTGAGCTGTACACCTTGAGCTGTATAATTGAGCTGTACACATTGAGCTATAAACAGTGTTTTTTAAGCTATATCTCCGGGGGGGAGGGGAAGCCAAGTGCCCCCCGGAGCATAAATATGTCCAACAATAAACTAACTGGCACTCCCCCCCCCCGCGGAAGTGCGCCCCCCCCTTCCGGGGGGGAAAAATTCTGTAAAAAACTGGCTATAAACATTGAGCTGTACACATTGATCTGTACACATTGAGCTGTACACATTGAGCTGTACACATTGAGCTTTACACATTGAAATATACACATTGAGCTATACACATTGAGATGTACACATTGAGCTGTACACATTGAACTGCACACCTTGAACAATCTATCTTGTCCCAAGCTTCTTCGTTAGATTTTGAAATGAAGTCATCATTTCACATCTTCTGCACTTTCGTCTGAGACCAATATAATATCTTCTTTTTTTTAAACATATTTTTGTAAGTCTGTATGTTGCGACGGGCACTGTTTGAGTGTACAAAAAATGCTGAGCTAAAGAGTTATTTGCACTGATATTCCGCTGGGCATGGCTTGGGTCTCTATAGCTACGACGTCTGGGTGTTGATGAGTGTTTCCTTCAATAATTAATATTGTATGGCCTAAATAATTTTTTTGAAAAATGATTTCATTTTAATCTTTAGTAATATCGATTATAATTTTATATATCGTTAATATTATTCACTTTTGCAAAACGTTATGTAGGAAGTTAGTCTAATTAAGTTTCTTGTGTGTGTGAAAAAAAAAAAAAAAAAAAAAAAAAAAAAAAAAAAAAAAAAAAATTTTTTTTTTTTTTTTTTTTTTTTTTTTTTTTTTTTTTTTTTTTTTTTTTTTTTTTTTTTTTTTTTTTTTTTTTTTTTTGTGGTCATGTTACACATTTAATAACATCTCCGCATTAATGTTAAGTACAGTAGAATATGATGCACATACCAAACTGTTATTGGGACCGATAGTTCACATGTCCAGTGCTTGATGACATTTTTAAGCTGGATTCTTATTTTACATTTGTTGCTAGCCTTACCATCTTAGAAGGCTGATATGTTGTAGATTGAGAATGGCATGCGTGGACCGGCTTCCCAAAAATCACTATTTCATTTTAGAAATGTCCACAATTTTGAAGAATTAAACCTGCATAACAAGTCTACATTACTGAGACGTCCTGTAAAGTCGGGGCTTCGGAAAAAAAGGCGTATCCAAGAGAGGAGGGGTGCAGTCGCCCCGGTCAATAATACAATGAACGTGGCGGACTGATAAATTTGGTTCATCGCCATTGAATCAATTTTTGGTGGTTGTTGTTTTTTTGTTTTTGTTTTTTTAAACAAAAGACGTTGTTTGAGTTAAATTATTTCCCCCCTTGTGGACACGGGGCTGGGACGGAAGCAGCCCCTCCACACTCCTCCTTATTTCCTCTTGCCTTAAGTTGAGCTCGGATGGGCGAGTTTGTGAAAATCGTTTAACACTCTTCAAGACAAAAAACACGAGAGGAAATCATGTATAACTTAGTTTTATAACCCCTCTTGGTGGGGGGGTGTATTCGTTCCCTTGATATAAATATATTTATACACACACACACACACACACACACATATATATATATATGTATATATATATATATATAAAACGGAGGACAGGGTGAGTACCACCAACCCCCGGCAACCAACCCCCGACCACCGACGTTTGTTTGGATCGAGCATGCCGGGATATAATTAAAACTACGTCATCATTCATCAGTTTTTTAGGTCAATAAAACTTTATACAAGACAACACTTTTTTTATTATATCTTTTTTTGAAAATCATTTTATTATTGATTGATGCATTGGGAGACTTGGAGAAAAAGTTGGTTAAAAAACATATTATTTTAAATAAATATCTCTACGCGCATACATTTTTTTGAGCTTGGCATGCAGCAGAGTCCAGTGGTTCGCAGATCCCTGGGGAAACAATGGAACAAATATTTCTTATCCATATAGTATACATAGCATGTTCGTAACAGTATTCAACAGCTTCCAGTGGCTTCAAAGGTAAAGAATTTACTTTTTTTTTTCATTAAAAAAAAATAAAGAATAATTGTATCACTATCCTATTCAGCATTTTGTGAGCTTAAAGTTTCAACATTATAAACTTAGTTTGCTATTGTTATTGAAAAAAGACAATAGTTCTTTTATTGAAATTGAATTCATCGTTACATCAATGTTGCAGCTCGAACCAGCCTCGCTGCACACACGTTAATGTAACATATCGAACCAGCCTCGCTGCACACACATTAATGTAACATATCGAACCAGCCTTGTCACAAACGGTTCTCCAAGTTTTCCGTACCGGAGAGGAGACGCCGCTCAAGTTAAGCCCCCCGATCCACTACGCGCTAGCTCACCCTGAGTAACTACTGTACGCATAGCTGATAACCTTGCTGATAACATGGTGTAATGCTCGTTAACAAAAGATGAATCGGGGTAGGTTGGGGACCAATTATTTTTTTTAAGAATCCCTGTGCAATGTCATCATTATCATGCTAAACGTTGCATTGGATGGAATACATCAGGGGCGGGGTGTCGAGCTCTTGGATCTTCATGTTTCACTGTTTCTTTAGTCGTTGTAAAACTAATTAGGCTCACTTAGACCAAACCATTACGTTTTTAACATTGTTGCTGCAGAGGTCCGCTGCTACCCAAACCAACTCATTGCAGCACTGTGACGGCAGAGGGTTACCAGCACCATAACAAGCTCCACCATCGCCTACCAAACAGATCTGGACTCACCGGGGTTTCCAGTGGGTGGAAGCAAGGTTCCAGGGACGGCAGCTGTGAATGTACAGTTGGGATCTCCCAGCTCCTCCCCGTTGGTCTTGCCGTCTTTATCCGAGTCCAACCTGCACAGGGCTTGTGTCCATTGGAATAAGGCGGCGTCAAAGTCCTGTGGGATTTTAAATTAGGTCACCAATCACCACAATCAAATCACCTCTGATTGGTGCAAACCACTCATTTTGGAGATGAACATATTTATTACCGTGGAATTCAAAATGAAATGATTAGAGTCAAAACATATTAAGATTTCAAGGGCGAAATATCAGAGTTGAAATAGATGAGTATGAGCTGTGTATATGCCAACTGCATTAGTTATTCTCATTTACTTTAACTTAAAACAAAAACAAACAACAATTTCAATCTTTTTGGCCATGTATGATCAGGGGTACGCGTTAAACTGGCAAATGTATACGCACAACAGCATTTAGCCATGTGTTACCCTTACCTAAACCTAACCTACCCTACACACCAACAACTAACATAAACCTAACCTACAAACCTACAACGAATTTAAACCTAACCTACAAAAAAGCTAAACCTAACCTACAAACCTGGAACTAACCTAAACATAACCTACAACTAATCTAAACCCAAACTACAACTAACCGAAACCAAACCTACAGATGACCTAAACTAAGGTAACTTAACCGAAAACCAACCTACGAACTCATGCTTTGCCCTAGTGTCACAAGCAGGATTGTAAACTACTGTGTCCAGTACCTACCACTCCAAATGGGTTCAACGGGCCTCCCCCAGTCGAGTTCAAATGACCAACACCTTGCCAGGTGCCTCCCCCTGGGCATGGATTTGGGACCTTATCCCCATTTGGGATACGTGTCCTAAAAGACGGGAAGGCGAGAACTGTGGTGGCCACCGCCGCAAAGATGACGTACTTAATCATGTTGACTGAAAGAGAAAAGTAAACCGTTGATGGTCATTGGTTAATGAGATTGAGAGTGATTGGTAAAGTAAACCGTTGATTGTGATTGGTAAGGTAAACCGATGATTGTGATTGGTAAAGTAAACTGTTGACTGTGATAGATAAAGTAAACCGTTGATTGTGATTGGGAGATAATCTGAGTTAAATATTGTAATGGACTGAGAGTCGTTAAGACCTTGTGTGCAATCATGGAACCAATTGACTGACGCGTGACTGCGTGGGGGATTACATGGGGCGGTCGTTTTGTTCAATGAAATAACAGAAACGAGAGGCTGTTGGAAATCTTAACCGTTATATCCTTTTTTAAACAAAAACTCTGTTAACTAGAACAATAGAATAATATTGCCCTGATTTTGTTTCATTTCAAACGTTATTGATTTTAATCTTCCTGTTAAAATATATTCTTTCGTTGTTCTTGTTTTTCTTGTTTTTTTAAGTCATGGGCAGACGATCCCCACCCACCCCCGTCGCCGCCAATTTAAATCTATCATTAAAAGGCCCTAAGTCTTTAACAGTTAACAACCACTTTGTTAGATCACTACAGAGCGTCTTAATCACACACGGTCCTATTGATTCATCATTAGCACTTTTTTTTTTCAATAGCCTAAGACTTACCAGTTCTTAAATTCCTGGACACAATTGCGAAGATTCTGAACCCAACTCTATGATATATATATTGGTCGCTGCCTCAGGCGCAACAAATTGTGCTTGAGATTTTAAAAAAAAAATGTTTAATGTAATTTATATTGTCTTATCACTAATCGGAGATAAAATATATAAAAAAATAAGTTGGTGCATTGTGTCGATTTTTTTTTTTTTAGTTTATAAATTTAAATAAACGTGGTGGCATTTTAAAAAAAAAATCTCTTGTACTGTGACGTCATGGTGTCGAAAGAAGGTAAACCCTTAATTTTATATTTATATCTATTTATTGTTGTATTTATTTATTTATATGAACATGAGTTGTTTTTTTTTAATTGTTACTTTGGGAGGATCCGTTCGTGTGAAAGAAAAACTGGTATAGACCAGCGGTTGACTCTACAAAATTGTTTCTATGTTTGACAGGTTTTTATTTTATTTCTTTACGGTAAAGTGTAGTTTTTGTTTGTTTGTTGTTGTTTTTTTTTTGTCATTACCCAAGTACTCCCAGTGCATATGGCTCGTATTAAATGGTGTAAAAAAAAATCACTTCCATCCCATTGTTCGGTTGTTGTTGTTGTTGTTTTTTTTTGTTTTTTTCGGGATAGGAACCCAGCGGGGACTAATAATTATTATTCTCCTATTTAAAAAAAACAAAAAAATACGAAATTCACAGAACTGTAAAGACTACGTGTCAAAGCTGGTCACTGAAGAAAGCTTATCTTGCAAGATTATGTGCACTCATCAAAACTGCGGCGGTATGTCCAGCAGAGTTGCTCCACTTTCTGTCGTTACTGACATGAGAACTTCGACGTGGTTTATTGGGTTTCTAGCCCAAGTTTTTTTTAGTTCTCTCGACACGATTGTACTCTTATCGCTGTTTCAACCCTGTGTTCCTTTCATGCTTCTCTCCGGGGTGGGTTGTGATTGATATCCCTTACATCATCAACTGACTGGACCGAGACACACCCTCCACCACCCCCCCCCAACCCTCCACCCCGAGTGCCAATAGATGATACACTGCTTTAGTGGCGTAGCTTCTGGAAGTTCCACTCCTTTGAACGATACAAAATCTGCAGCTATCAGAAGACGCCGCCGCCCCATAAAGTAAATACACCTGAGCAGTCCATCCATCCGCCCCCAACCCCCCAACCCCCCCCCCCCCACTTTTTCAACGCCATTTGCAGAAACGTAGCTAAAGTGTTTAGCGCCAGGGAACAAATGTCATTGGTACGCTTCCACCCCCTCCCCCCCCCCTTTTTTAAAAAAAAATCAGAAACTCATTATTCCAATCCATTAAATATCATCAAAGCCGGAAATGACGTAGAGCCATTTTGTGCCGGGAAAGTCGTAGAGCCATTTTGGTGCCGGAAATGATGTAGAGCCATTTTGTGCCGGGAAAAGTCGTAGAGCCATTTTGGTGCCGGAAATGACGTAGAGCCATTTTGTGCCGGTAAAGTCGTAGAGCTATTTTGTGCCGAGAAAGTCCGTAGAGCCATTTTGGGGCCGGAAAATCCATGGAGCCATTTTGGTGCTGAGAAAGTCGTAGACCCATTTACTTTTGCTTTGCAATTTCGACGATTCACCGACTCCCTAGTTTCACGATATAATTTCAAAGCTGCAGGGATTTTTTTTTTTAAATACCTTTCCCACCAAATGTTTACCATTGTTTTAAATTAGTTGCGAAATTTCAACTAAACACCATATCTGAAAATCGTTTTGAAAAATGTGTTAATTTTTTTTTTTTTTTTTTTTTTTTTTNCATTTAAACTTTCTCGTGAAGCATGGTCGCGATTTCTTGGTTTCAGTCCCCCCCCCCCTTTTTCCAACTGTCATCTTCATGGATACCCTTATTTTGTTAGAAAACAAGTGCCGTACATTATTTTCAATAATTAGTGGAGCAAGATGTGTTTTGGTTTGAAATAAAAAAAAAAATTTCAAAAAAAAAGACTGGACACTGAATCGAAAGTTTCGGGTTAACGTCCACTTCAGCAGAGGATACACCACCAAGAAATAACAGAATTATTCGTTACCCCAGAAATATTATTCGAATTTTTTATTTTTTTCCATAGGATCATAAAAGCCCCTGAGTGGCCTTATCATTCTACTTCCAATTAGGAAACGGTCACACGGTCGAATCGTGACCACTTGATGGCGTGATAGTAAGTAAGGCCGTGACGTCTACCAGATAGACTTGATAGAAGATTCTTCGTCTTTTTTTAGCCCCGTAACTGAACCCGTTCTGTCTACCTGCTCAACGGCTGACACTCCGCAGTGGTTCACAATACACCAGGAGCATCGTGTGCGTATAAGAACATGACATCGTGTGCGTATAAGAACATGACATCGTGGGCGTATAAGAACATGACATCGTGTGCGTATAAGAACATGACATCGTGTGCGTATAAGAACATACTTGACATTTAAAAGAAATGGGAACGAATCCTTGAGTCATTGCACCTGTCGTGTCCTGGTATTTCTGACATGCGTATGTCAAGTTGCAGGATATTGTGATTTGTGCCTGTCTCTGGAACAAGATGGCGTCCTCCCGCATGCTAACTTTGCTTGAGTGGGTTCATATATGGCAGTGGTTCTCAACATTCAAGCCGCGACACGTTGATACAGTTCCTCATGTTGTAGTGACCACCCCCCAACCATAAAATTATTTTAGTTTCTACTTCATAAAGATGCGTTTTAAACGATGGTCTCAGGTGACGCCTGTAGATGATCGTTGGAACCGAAAATTGGTCGTGACCCGCAGAGAACCACTGTTTGATAAACTCTCTCGCCAGTGAATCAGTTAACTCAACTCTGTTTGATGACGTCTCTATCCAGTGACTCAGTTATCTCAACTCTGTTTGATGACCTCTCTAGCCAGTGACTCAGTTACCTTAACTCTGTTTGATGACCCTTCTAGTCAGTGACTCACTTATCGCAACTCTGTATGATGACCTCTCTAGCCAGTGATTTAGTTACTCAACTCTGTTTGATGACCTCTCTAGCCAGTGACTCAGTTACCTTAACTCTGTTTGATGACCCTTCTAGTCAGTGACTCACTTATCGCAACTCTGTATGATGACCTCTCTAGCCAGTGATTTAGTTTGCGCAACTGTTTGATGACCTCTCTAGCCAGTGACTCAGTTACCTCAACTCTGTTTGATGACCCTTCTAGTCAGTGACTCACTTATCGCAACTCTGTTTGATGACATCTCTAGCCAGTGATTCAGTTTCCGCTACTGTTTGATGACCTCTCTAGCCAGTGACTCAGTTACCTCAACTCTGTTTGATGACATCTCTAGCCAGTGATTCAGTTTCCGCAACTGTTTGATGACATCTCTAGCCAATGACTCAGTTACCTCAACTCTGTATGATGACATCTCTAGCCAGGGATTCAGTTTCCGCAACTGTTTGATGACGTCTCTAGCAAGTGACTCAGTTACCTCAACTCTGTTTGATGACATCTCTAGCCAGTGACTCAGTTACCTCAACTCTGTTTGATGACATCTCTAGCCAGTGACTCAGTTTCCGCAACTGTTTGATGACCTCTCTAGCCAGTGACTCAGTTACCTCAACTCTGTTTGATGACATCTCTAGCCAGTGACTCACTTATCGAGACTCTGCATGATGACCTCTCTATCCAGTGACTCAGTTACCTCAGCTCTGTTTGATGACGTCTCTAGCCAGTGACTTATTTACCTCAACTCTGTTTGATGACCTCTCTATCCAGTGACTCAGTTACCTCAACTCTGTTTGATGACCTCTCTAGCTAGTAACTCAGTTACCTCAACTCTGTTTGATGACCTCTCTAGCCAGTGACTCAGTTACCTCAACTCTGTTTGATGACCTCTCTAGCCAGTGATTCAGTTACCTCAACTCTGTTTGATGACATCTCTAGCCAGTGACTCAGTTACCTCAACTCTGTTTGATGACATCTCTAGCCAGTGACTCAGTTACCTCAACTCTGTTTGATGACATCTCTAGCTAGTAACTCAGTTATCTCAACTCTGTTTGATGACCTCTCTAGCTAGTAACTCAGTTACCTCAACTCTGTTTGATGACCTCTCTAGCCAATGACTCACTTATCGCAACTCTGCATGATGACCTCTCTATCCAGTGACTCAGTTACCTCAGCTCTGTTTGATGACGTCTCTAGCCAGTGACTTATTTATCTCAACTCTGTTTGATGACCTCTCTATCCAGTGACTCAGTTACCTCAACTCTGTTTGATGACCTCTCTTGCCAGTGACTCAGTTACCTCAACTCTGTTTGATGACCTCTCTAGCCAGTGACTTATTTACCTCAACTCTGTTTGATGACATCTCTAGCTAGTGACTTATTTACCTCAACTCTGTTTGATGACCTCTCTTGCCAGGGACTTATTTACCTCAACTCTGTTTGATGACCTCTCTTGCCAGGGACTTATTTACCTCAACTCTGTTTGATGACATCTCTAGCCAGTGACTCAGTTACCTCAACTCTGTTTGATGACCTCTCTAGCTAGTAACTCGGTTACCTCAACTCTGTTAAAAGACATCTCTAGCCTGTGACTCAGTTACCTCATTCTGTTTAAAGACATCTCTAGCCTGTGACTCAGTTACCTCAACTCTGTTTAAAGACATCTCTAGCCTGTTACTCAGTTACCTCAACTCTGTTTAAAGACATCTCTAGCCTGTGACTCAGTTACCTCAACTCTGTTTAAAGACATCTCTAGCCTGTAACTCAGTTACCTCAACTCTGTTTAAAGACATCTCTAGCCTGTAACTCAGTTACCTCAACTCTGATTGATGACATCTCTAGCCAGTGACTCAGTTACCTCAACTCTGTTTGATGTCATCTCTAGCCTGTGACTCAGTTACCTCAACTCTGTTTGATGACCCATCTAGTCAGTGACTGAGCTACCTCAACTCGGTTTCATGACCTCTCTAGCATGTGACTCAGTTACCTCAACTCTGATGACCCCTCTAGTCAATGACTGATTCACCTCAACTCTGTTTTATGGCCTCTCTCGCAAGTGACTCAGTTACCTCAAATCTTTTTGATGACCTCTCTCGCCAGTCACTCTGTTACCTCAACTCTGTTTGATGACCTCTCTTGCCAGTGATTGTGTTACCTCAACTCTGTTTGATGACCTCTCTAGCCAGTGATTGTGTTACCTCAACTCTGTTTGATGATCTCTCTAGCTTGTGACTCAGTTACCTCAACTCTGTTTGATGACCTCTCTAGCCAGTGACTCACTTATCGCAACTCTGAATGATGACCTCTCTATCCAGTTGCTCAGTTACCTCAACTCTGTTTGATGACCTCTCTAGCCAGTGACTTATTTACCTCAACTCTGTTTGAAGACCTCTCTATCCAGTGACTCAGTTACCTCAACTCTGTTTGATGACATCTCTTGCCAGTGACTCAGTTAACTCAACTCTGTTTGATGACCTCTCTAGCCAGTGACTTATTTACCTCAACTCTGTTTGAAGACCTCTCTAGCCAGTGACTCAGTTACCTCAACTCTGTTTGATGACATCTCTTGCCAGTGACTTTTTTACCTCAACTCTGTTTGATGAAATCTCTAGCCAGTGACTCAGTTACCTCAACTCTGTTTAAAGACATCTCTAGCCTGTGACTCTGTTACTTCAACTCTGTTTGATGAACTCTCTAGCCTGTGACTCAGTTACCTCAACTCTGTTTGATGACCTCTCTCGCCAGTGACACTGTTACCTCAACTCTGTTTGATGACCTCTCTAGCTAGTGACTCAGTTACCTCAACTCTGTTTGATGACCTCTGCAGCTAGTGACTCAGTTACTCAACTCTGTTTGATGACCTCTCTCGCCAGTGACACTGTTACCTCAACTCTGTTTGATGACCTCTCTAGCTAGTGACTCAGTTACCTCAACTCTGTTTGATGACCTCTGCAGCTAGTGACTCAGTTACCTCAACTCTGTTTGATGACCTCTCTAGCCAGTGACTCTTCGCAGCCCCACTCCCCCTCTGAAGAAAGTCAAACGTCTTAACTCTCTGCCCCCCTCACCCCCTCTCCTCCCCCCCCCAATCCCCCCAAAGAATTTTTTGGGGTAAAACAAGCAAAATATATTTCATTTCAAAAAAAGACTAAATTGTCATTTTTATAACAGTTTCAAAAAGAATACCGTATTTTCGTGTACATAAGACGCGTCTTATACAAAGTGTTAGGTACCCGGAACCAAGGGTGCGTCTTATATAAGGGTGCGTCGTATATTCAAGGGTTGCTATTATGTACAATATTTTTTACACAAATCGTCAAAACCCCGCGTCTTATATATCGGTGCGTCTTATAATTTGGTGCGTCTTATATATCGGTGCCTCTTATAATTTGGTGCGTCTTATATATCGGTGCCTCTTATAATTTGGTGCGTCTTATATATCGGTGCCTCTTATAATTTGGTGCGTCTTATATATCGGTGCGTCTTATAATTTGGTGCGTCTTATATATCGGTGCGTCTTATAATTTGGTGCGTCTTATAATTTGGTGCGTCTTATATATCGGTGCGTCTTATAATTTGGTGCGTCTTATAATTTGGTGCGTCTTATATATCGGTGCGTCTTATAATTTGGTGCGTCTCATCAAGTATTTTTTTACCAGGAACGAACCGTGCAGTGTGTGATGTCGAACCGTGCAGTGTGTGATGTCGAACCGTGCAGTGTGTGATGTCGAACCGTGCAGTGTGTGATGTCGAACCGTGCAGTGTGTGATGTCGAACCGTGCAGTGTGTGATGTCGAACCGTGCAGTGTGTGATGTCGAACCGTGCAGTGTGTGATGTCGAACCGTGCAGTGTGTGATGTCGAAACGTGCAGTGTGTGATGTCGAACCGTGCAGTGTGTGATGTCGAACCGTGCAGTGTGTGATGTCGAACCTGCAGTGTGTGATGTCGAACCGTGCAGTGTGTGATGTCGAACCGTGCAGTGTGTGATGTCGAACCGTGCAGTGTGTGATGTCGAAGGACGAAGATTGCGGCCGATTTTCACGTTTCATTCCTAGTTGTAAAAACAATCGGGTAAGCGTTAATCAGTAAAGACCAAGTGTACCAATCCAATGCAGGCTGGACACTTCAAATTTAAAATCCTTTCGTTTTAATGTTGTGTATACCGTAATCATTGCAGATCTAAGTTTAGTCGGAGTAATTTTTTTTTTATTTTGATAATATAGTATGTTTAAATAGTTTTCTTCATTTTTATTTATTATCACAGCAAAGACTACGGCTGCCGTATGACCTATACCTCCGGCAGGGTTAAAAGATACTTAAATTTGTTTAAATGTTTGCAATACCCGTTGCGGTCGAGCTTCAGACAATTCTTTAATCAACTGGTTAGACTGGTTTTAATCGGTTCGCTTCCATTTCAGTAAGCATATGAGCCTAATGAAACTCATGCGTTGACATGTTATTGCAAGGAACAAAGACTCTGCATACAAACAGGACAGCGAATGTTTACTGTTAAGTGACAACAGCGCATTACAGATACCACGTCTACACAATACCATAAGCTGTGCCTCAAAAGCGACAAATATATATACACACAATTTGGTTTTCATATTTTATCACAGAAGTATATTTTGAGTTTCAAAATAAAAATTAATTATTAGTATACAAAAATAAGAATTAAAATTAAGCCATTGCTTCAGACCATCTTTTTTTTTTCCTAACCCGAGCACACAAAGAACACAAACAATACCAAGCTTGTTAAAACGTGGTGATCTTTATTCCATTACATTTTTATTTACACAGACACATTTGGGCATGAGAATCTTTGCCATTCACAATTAGGGCTACCAATCGGCTCACAAATACCTGTAGGAAGTGATGAGAATGAGGAAATACAATTAATCGCATGACTACAGTAATACCTTAAAATTGTGTCATTCATTTTTCACGTATCGGGAAGTCCCGGATTGGTGAAGTTTTTTCATTGGAACCTCGTTAATTTGCAATGCGCATTTTTTTTTTTTTGCACAGATCTGCGAAAGTGTGCGAAATATTAACACATCCTACGGATGAGTTTAAGTTTAATTTTTCTTTTTAAAGTAATTTAGAAGTGTTAATGCTTATGAGTGTAAAAACGGTAAGAGAAAGTTTGTTAATGAAAATTATATTTTTTTTTAATTTTTTTTTCGTTTCTTTGTTTTTTTCTTAGAAATCAGGTTAAGAAATTCCTTCTAAAGAAACAACTTTGCCATCCTATTCCCTATGTTATGTCAAGTAATGTACTGATGATGTATACCCACTGGCAAAGTTTCTTCCCTTTGAAACTCAAATGGTTACAGGCTTTATAGAAAATAGGGTAGTCAATTTAAAAATTTGAAACAGAAAATTTTAACGTAATTTCAACATCAAAACTGCACATTTTCTGCTAGTGCTCATAGAGCATGGATACCGTATCGTAGCAGTGATTACGTAGGCTCCATGATAACAAGCTTTAATTCAAGAGATTTAGTTGGAGATGGAGTTTACCTGGGTGACTTCTAGCCCGGCCCAGATTTCTCCGCTTCAGGCTAGTGAAGTGACAGAAAGGGTCTCCAAGCTCTTCGCCATTGGTCTTGCCATCAAAGTCCGAGTCTTTCTTACACAGCTCATATGTCCAAACAAAGCCACCAGCAGCAAAATCCTGTAGACGAGAAACGTTTTGGGGTTGGGGGTAGGGGTGGGGGAACACATTGCAGTTAAAATAATTCATTGTTCTGTAGGGATGAGGTCAAGGTCGATCTTACTTTGACAAAAGCTTTTTTTTTTTTTTTTGAAGTTGAAATGTATAGTCAAAAAAGATACTTTTTATTTTTCAACACTATCTAAAAGGTTGATTGAATTGACAAGGCTGTCGTTGAATCCATCATAAATGTGGTTGGTTCGACAAAGCTGTTGTTAAAAATAACCATAATTGGGGTTGAATTGACATGGCTGCTGTCTGTCCTGACTCGAATAACGTGTTTCAACTTCAGTGCGACCATCTGAGCCATGTTGAGCCAACGCCACACAGACATCGAGTGATGCGGGGATGGTATGAGGAAGGCACCTCAAACGACGCCCTCAATCAGCTGACAGACAAGACAATTTTTCTGTGGTTCTTTGGCGGACCCAACTCTTCTGGCTTCATTAAGAGTAGAGCAATCATTGAACCATGGCCGTGGACACACAAACGCGACAAAAGCACCACCCCCCCCCCTCTAGGATAGGCATATAGATACACCATGCCACTCATTTTTTTTTCAATATATAAATGAGGCACTCATAAATGTTGGCCTTGCGCACAACCACTTGGGGGGGGGGGGTTGCCCCTCACAGCCCAAGGGGTAGCATTTTTACATGGCAGGGTTGTTGGCCTTGCGCACAACCACTTGGGGGGTTGCCCCTCACAGCTCAATGGGTAGCTGCCTTTGTTCGGGTTAGGTCCCTAGCCTTTGTGGATCCCTCCACTTCCTACAAAGCAGTAGGGCTGATTTTGGTCCGCCCCGGGTATTTTATTTCCCCGGTACCCTTCATATCTGGCGGGCTTTCCCCTATCCGCCGGCTGGGGAGGCGCTCGATAGAAGATCAGCATCTCCCACTCATTTAATTATGTTCAATTTTTTAAAATGTTTTTTATTAACGGTCATTTCAAAAAATGATAATTTATTCACGGTCATTTCTTTCACGGTCATTTCTTTCACGGTCATTTCTTTCACGGTCATTTCTTTCACGGTCATTTCTTTCACGGTCATTTCTTTCACGGTCATTTCGTAACCCTAAGTAATGACTGATTTTTTTTTTTTATTTTGCTTATACGTGAAAGTTGGTCCTTCTACTTTGTATTTCTGTCATTACCTCTTTGAACAAATATTATGTAAAAGTAAAATGGGTAAATCAATCAAGGAAGATCGTGTTACGCCCGCAGGGGAGAACGCTTGAAACTGCCATACTGATGACCACTTTATTTTTTTAATGAGACTTGTCAACAGCGAAGGTAAAAAAAGAAAGAAGAAAAAAAACAGATTTACCCAGATCAATCAAATTTTACTTCCTGTTTGTGTTTCGATATGAAAAAAAAAAGTGAAAACAGGGTTCGATTTTAAAAAGAGCTCTTTTATTTCTTGACCTTTTCTCTCTAGGAGTTCTCGAGTGACTGCTCATGCCGCAATATAAAATGTTTATTCACCTTGACAATCTTTAGTTGTTAATGATCAATAATAAACAGGGGCTGGAAGAGACAAAAATGCCAATTACTTTTTAAAATTTAATCCACAAGTCTCAAGTTTCCCTAAAAATACTTCTTGCTGAGAAAACCAATTCGGACAATGCGTCTGGGTCAAATGGATGATTATGCTAAATGATTATCTGGTCCAGTTTCTTTTAAGCTAAGATTGACGGTCACGTGTTTTTGACTTGTTATCCTCAAGTCTAGAAGTTTATATTGTCTGAAACCTCGAATTCAGTGTCACTCTCAAGTCTCATATGTAGTCTTAAACCGCAAGTCCCTCACCGATTCATTGTTATCATCGGCACTAACAAGTTGTCTTAAACCGCAAGGGCTGGACCAATTTATCGTTACCTTTTATAACGCATTATCCATAATTGAACCTTTATTAAAGCTAGAAAATATGGTTTTATTTTTAATTTACCAGGCTGGGTAAATAATGGACTCCGTGATTGCAGAGGATATATAGCGCCCAGAGTATGGAACGGAGGAGGCTAGCGTTAACTTGGGATGTGACATTGACAAGAGGTTAGGGTTAGGGTTAGCGTTAACATGGGATGTGGTATTGACAAGAGGTTAGGGCTAGGGTTAACATGGGATGTGATATTGACAAAAGGTTAGGGTTAGCTTTAACAGGGGATGTGATATTGACAAGAGGTTAGGGTTAGCGTTAGCGTTAACATTGGATGTGGTATTGACAAGAGGTTAGGGTTAGCGTTAACATGGGATGTGATATTGACAAGAGGTTAGGGTTAGCTTTAACATGGGATGTGATATTGACAAGAGGTTAGGGTTAGGGTTAGCGTTAACATGGGATGTGATATTGACAAGAGGTTAGGGTTAGGGTTAGCGTTAATATAGGATGTGATATTGACAAGAGGTTAAGGTTAGGGTTAGCGTTAACATAGTATGTGATATTGACAAGAGGTTAAGGTTAGGGTTAGCGTTAACATGGGATGTGACATTGACAAAAGGTTGGAGTTAGCGTTAACATGGGATGTGATATTGACAAGAGGTTAGGGTTAGGGTTAGCGTTAACATGGGATGAGATATTGACAAGAGGTTAGGGTTAGCGTTAATATAGGATGTGATATTGACAAGAGGTTAGGGTTAGGGTTAGCGTTAACATAGGATGTGATATTGACAAGAGGTTAAGGTTAGGGTTAGCGTTAACATAGTATGTGATATTGACAAGAGGTTAAGGTTAGCGTTAACATGGGATGTGGTATTGACAAGGGGTTAGGGTTAGCGTTAACCTGGGATGAGATATTGACAAGAGGTTAGGATTAGGGTTAGCGTTAACATGGGATGTGATATTGACAAGAGGTTATGGTTAGCTTTAACATGGGATGTGATATTGACAAAAGGTTAGGGTTAGCTTTAACATGGGATGTGATATTGACAAGAGGTTAGGGTTAGCTTTAACATGGGATGTGATATTGACAAGAGGTTAGGGTTAGCTTTAACATGGGATGTGACATTGACCAGAGATGCCATTAAAGATTACGTAGACACCTAATTCAGTCGGTAATTATAGCTATTTAAATTGCAACGATCATTTGTTAGGATAGAGAGCTCATTGTGCTTTCTGATAGCAGGCGTATGAAGACAAAACAAAATGGTAATTCATGTTGCGGATATTTCAGTTTCAACTCAATTACGCTTTTCTTTTGTGCATGTCTCGTCTGTTTGTTATTAACCAATTTAAAATATTCATTTGGCTTTTCCCCAGTTTGACTTATGCAAACCTATCAACAATTCTCTTCGTTTTAACTAATAATAGAAAGCATAGTCGAGCCCCTTAGATGTCTAGAAACATCAGTTCACCCTCAACATAGGAGTGGTGGAAAAGGAGGGGTGGGCAGAAAAAAAGAGTACCTAATTTATATTTAATTATGTTTATTTAATTCGTAGTTATTTTATAGACTATCTATGACGTATGAACACTTTGACCTTGTTATACACCCGGTGAAAGTTGGTGATAAATACTTAACAGCTAAATGGGTGTGATTTTTAAATGTATATATATAGAGCAGCACGTTACCTCTCCAAAAGGGTTCAGTTGTCCGGTTCCACCCATGAGGTAATGTCCGACTCCATGCCATTCGCCCCGCCCACAGGGGTCATTCACGCTGATGCCGTTGGGTATCTTAGATTTAAATTCCGGGTACCCGACCACGGCTGTTATGCTGATAGCTGTACACAGGACTGAAAAAAACATGTTCGATGGTTGCGAGACGGTGTGCTGGGGCTGCACTGATTCGGCTCTTACCTGTGATCATGGTGTGTGTGTGGGGGTGGGGGGGTGGATGTCACACGCGGATCAAACTGTCCTTCGTTTCTGATGGCCGGCCCGAGGGGTGGTTTCAAAGTTCTCAGCCATGGCAGCTACTTGTCCGTTGAATCAGTTTCATTTATCGCTGATGACATCATCGCCGTGGGATCTCGTCCATCCTTTCCTGGTCCAAAAATTAGGTTCAAGTTCGATATAGGATTTCGTTTTCAGGAAATATTCATTTATCATATCACAGTGATACAAATCTTGTGTACAGAAGTCGGCATTTAAAATACAGATAAAAAAAATTAGCACTGTATATTGTTGCTTGTTCATGAATATGATGACGCGATCTGGCCGACAGGGAGACATTAATATCTGCCTTCCTGGGATGATCGATGTCTATTGACGTCATGGGCTCTCCCACTTCTTCTTTTGTTTTTTTCTTTTTTTTTTTAGATTTGTTTGTTTGTTTTGTGAGTGTGTTTGTAAACAGAGTTTGTTCTAGTCGCTCACTCTTTTTATCTTATTTCATTTAATTTCTTAGTTTTATTTATTTGAAATATGTTGTTTTTTTATGGACATTGGTCAATTTCTAAGTTTATAAAAAAAAAATCAAAGTTATGTGAGTTTGCTTTAAAACTTTCCTACATCCACATAAACCAAGAGTTGGGTAACCCCTTAACTGATATATTTCTCGTGGTTCATGTGCATTCTGAGACTCAGTGAACGTATTCTCAGAGAGAGAGAGAGAGAGAGAGAGAGAGAGAGAGAGAGAGAGAGAGAGACTCTCTCTCTCTCTCTCTCTCTCTCTCTCTCTCTCTCTCTTTCTCTCTCTCTCTCTCTCTCTCTCTCTCTCTCTCTTTTCATCTCCCTCTCGCATACACACGTTTTTTACACACACTCAAAATATCGTCCGTACACAGTACACACTATCATGCACAAACTCGATGAGACATACACTCAATCCCACACATTCACACTTGTACACAATCACTATAAATATAGACAGAGATATTGTTACGCACTGATATCAGTAGGGAGAAATTGATCTCCTAATTACATCTATGGCTATCTGCTCTCTCATATGCGTGCCACTAGTCCTGTCATTATAATCTATTCCATAGAAGATTCGAGGTCAGAATACGTACGCCTCGCAATAGTGACTCAAACGTTCTACAGTGTTCTACCACATTCGAGTCTAGAAACAGGCGATATATTGGATAGTAGTAAAGAAGTTAAAAGGGAGTAGGACATGCCCAATACTAACGCAGGCGAATTGGGGTCAGTTTAAGGTCTTTCACTGAATTGGGGTCAGTTTAAGGTCTTTCACTGAATTGGGGTCAGTTTAAGGTCTTTCACTAGGAAAAGATTAAATGACAGTAAAAGTAGAATGCATATGTAGTATATAACAACATATATATATCAAAGGCACAACATATATTTTACGCACACGCATAATCTCTCTCTCCCCATCAGGTACACACTATCTCCCCATCAGGTACACACTCTCTCCCCATCAGGTACACACTCTCTCCCCATCAGGTACACACTCTCTCCCCATCAGATACACACTCTCTCCCCATCAGGTACACACTCTCTCCCCATCAGGTACACACTCTCTCCCCATCAGGTACACACTCTCTCCCCATCAGATACACACTCTCTCCCCATCAGGTACACACTCTCTCCCCATCAGGTACACACTCTCTCCCCATCAGGTACAAATTGTTTTAAATCACTAACACACACTTTCTCATACATACACTTTCCTACACACGCTCTCTCTAACGCAAATTTTTCATACACTTCATCGCCAACCCGCTCTCCTACTCACTCACTCTTTCTCTCTCTCTCCCTCTCTCTCTCTCTCTCTCTCTCTCTCTCTCTCTTTCTGTTTCTCTTTTTCTTTCTCTCTCGGTGTCTCTTTAAAAAATCAAATTTAAAAAGATAGTTTCAATTGAAATAATTTGCTAACAACGAGCCTTTGATTTCATGGCTTTTTTTAAAACTGTTTTAATAGTTTCTTGTTGATGTCGCTCCCAGTGGCTCATGACTTGAGCGTGATGATCTCATAACTTTGGCTCTGCGTGAGATGTACGAAAACAAAAGCTTACGCAGTGACCAAAGCTATGTTTCTCAACTATGGGTGCACGTCCCTCAGGAGTAGAAATTTGAAGAATATTTCTATGAGATAATATGTAATGTACTTATGCATCACAAAAAGGAGTGGGGCCAATGTTGGCTAGGTTGTCTGTTGTCATTCGCTAGGTTGTCTGTTGTCATTCGCTAGGTTGTCTGTTGTCATTGTTGGTCTTTATTTTCAACACACGTATTTTTTCATGTGTTTGTTGTTTTGTGTTTTTTTTCCCGACAACTTTGAATTTCGCGGCCCCAAATTGAAATGGAATCTTCCAGACGACAGCATGGAGACCCCCTTCTCTAACCCTTCCCTAACCCTTACCATAGCCCTTCCCTAACCCTTACCATAGCCCTTCCCTAACCCTTACCATAGCCCTTCCCTAACCCTTACCATAGCCCTTCCCTAACCCTTACCATAGCCCTTCCCTAACCCTTACCATAGCCCTTCCCTAACAATATCCGGAACCCGAACCTTAACCAATCTCTAAGCCTAATCCTAACCTTTCCCTAACCCTAGCCCTTAGGGGAAAGGTGGGGGGGGGGCGCTCATGAAACCTTTTTTGAGGCGCTCAGGTGGGGGCGAGGGGCACAAAAGGCTGAGAAAAACTAGCCTAGAGGAACTATCTGATTGAACACACTAATCCTAACTGACATGTATGCATTAACTGCAGATTTTCATTTAGTTACCTGGACGAGATGGTAGGAAATGGAAAAGTCCAATCACTGTTATTATTTAATCTGTTTTATGGGGGTCGTTTGCTTTCTTCTCTTTTGTATTTAATCTGTCATTTAAATGTCATGTGAATTAAAAAGTTCAAGTATTGGTTTGTGTATTTATTGGCTTCAGAACACTTTTAAAGTTTCCCCTGAAACAATACTTGCTTTAGACCAGGCCCGCACAACTCAAAATTTAAGGCGGGCCGTAATACTTTATGGAAAACTTGTGCGGGCCGAAAGAAAATAGGACGGGGGGAAGCTATTAAGAAAATAATAATAATAAAGATTATTTCGTTACTCCGCGAGCCGCAAAGTGGGTGCTGCCGGGCCGCATGCGTCCCGCGGGCCGTATGTTGTGAAGGCCTGCTTTAGGTAATAGTGACAGAGCGGCTTCAGCTTCCTTGTTTACACTGAAGTCTCTATCCGTAAATATGCAACGATAAAACGGGAGATATTTTGAGTTGCCGTTTAAAAGAACTGGTTCTTAACCCAAAGGTGTGTTTGTCTACTAAATAATCTGCCGAGAGGCCAGCAAGACTATTGTCTGCTGCTTTGTTTTTTGCGTTCCCTTTTTCAGGTTTTCCCATACTTTGTTTCATTCATTTCATGTTTTTTCCCCTATAGGCTCAACGGTGCATATAAGTTGAGTCACGTTCCTTAAATTATATTTGAAATATGTACATGAAAAAAGTAAACTAACATTATGTGTTACGCAGAAAGACCCGTAAAGTTTATAAATCTGACTCACCCTTAAAGTTTTTATACCGACACTCAGCCAGCATGTCTACACACTACACAGAGTGTCTGATGACAGTTGAACTTCGTGACGCTTGTATGCCCTCCATAAAGCCTGGCATACAGACGCTGTCGCGGTCACCTGACTCCCCTCCTTTGATTTTCCCGTCTTGGTCAGAGTCTATCTGACACAGGGCTTGTATCCAAACATTGTTAGCCGGTGCAAAATCCTAGTTCGGGTCAGTGTTGGGAACCTTATGCACATTTTAACACAACAGTTCTCATGCTCTTGTGTTATTATTATTTTTTAATATTTTTCTTTTTAATTAATTTGAGAGCCGGTCATCTATAATTTATTTCAATAGGTGCCTTAATTTTAAGGGGAGTAGCTGGATGGTATGACTCCTTTGGAGCTCTAAAGGTGTCGTGCTTTACTCGGGGCAAATATTTTTAAAAATCTCACAGAAAAAAACAACCCACAAATGAATCATTAATATTATTTAAAGTGGACCGACTCTACCGCCACACACGGAGCCGCCCGGGGCTGTCCGCCCCATCCTTCCCCCGTCTACTTACGCCATTTCACCAAATCTTGTAGAAAAAAAAAGGATATGTCACGGGAGATACCTTTGAGCTAAAGATAATCAATAATCTCGACCAATAAATGTGTTAAAACTTACTCCAGTAATGACGTTCGTATAAAATATATTGACATGACCAACGTCATCTCACGCGCCGTACCCAATCAAATGACGTCATTGTAGTGAGAGAAAGAGTCAGTCATTAAATTAAAAGCGTTGAGATTTCCAAATTTAATCTGTCCATCGTCCAAGCCCGTGTACGACATAATAAACGAGCTTTTTTGTGTTGTAAAGACAAAAAGAAAATTCTAAGCATTTTCTTAAAATATGTATTTATATCATAAGTCTTAATAGGTAACATAATACAACAGTGGTCAGAACAAAAATCCTCAGAAATGCAGGAAGCTATGTTTTATACACACGTCAAACTCGTTGTGTTGGAAATGGTTCTGTTAATGAGATTCAAGCGAGGAAACCATTTGTCTTCCTTTTTTCCCACCTTCTTGGCTGATCATTTCAGCACTGGCGCCGGCAACTTTGGTCTCATCACTATGTGCCGGTCAGGGACAACATAGGGCTCACCACCATGTGCCGGTCAGTGACAACGTAGGTCTCACCACCATGTGCCGGTCAGTGACAACGTAGGGCTCACCACCATGTGCCGGTCAGTGACAACGTAGGGCTCACCACCATGTACCGGTCAGTTACAACGTAGGGATAACCACCATGTGCCGGTCAGTGGACCTCCACGTCGGAAACTTTGATCTGAGCATGGAGTCGTTGAAACAAAGGGAAAACACCGGTGTTAAATTGGATCAGACATTTGTATATATGATTGTTTCCCTTCTTTGGCTGAACGATGAAGACCAGACGTTAGTAGAAGCAGGGTTTAAAAAGGTTACATATTTTAAACACTACGGCACTCGTGCTAATTTTTATAAAGTTTCAACAAAAATGTTGGCTAACATAGATTGATTTATTTGTTACTTGTTTAGGGAGCTCTTGTTTGACCTGCAGTAACTACGATTAGACATTGGCCTCTCAACATAGACATTGGCCTGTCAACGTAGACATTGGCCTGTCACCATAGACAATGGCCTGTCAACATAGACATTGGCCTGTCACCATAGACATTGGCCTGTCAACGTAGACCTTGGCCAGTCACCATAGACAATGGCCTGTCACCATACACACCATATATGTAAACATAGACATTGGCCTGTCAACATACACACCATAAATGTCAACATAGACATTGGCCTGTCTACAATATTCTTACATAGAGTCACACTAAGTCCATTCCATACTGAATATTCTAATTTAGTTATCATTTGTGTGAAACTTTAACTCAGAAAGAATACTTGCAGTCTCGGTTTTGGTTTAACCCTCTTTTTTTTCTTTTTTTTTTTTTTTTACACATAAATGCTTTTATTGAATTAACCTGACATTTTAGATATTAAGGTCTTCTAAAAATCGCACACATGTATATTGAACTTCCAATAGACCTATCTGTAACATGACCCTTCCTTTTGTTAAAATCTTAAATGCTATTTAGGTCAGTTTACAAGTGGTCTTCTTATCATTTCTAGCAGAGCCTGGAGCCTAGATCATTTAATCTACTGGGGATCTCTTTGTTACTTGAAAATCGTGATCGAATTTGTTTGACCTAGGGATTCTTATCTAAACACACAAAATAGAAAGAGAGAGAGAAAGGGGACATGTTTTTTTTTTGTTGTTTTTTTAATTTTATATCGTGCAATATCATTAAAAATTTAAGTATAAACTATTTACATATATATATCTATATATAGCAAACTCTGAATTCAAACCCAGAGTCGGAGTCCCGTAGACGGATAACATTGACACAATGAATATTCCGGCGTATCCTGCGATCCTAATGGTGCCGAGCTGTGTCATCCACATAAGATGTTCCCTTGGGTTTATCCAGGTGCCTAGAGAGATGCTATATGGTGCCAAGCTGTGTCATCCACATAAGATGTTCCCTTGGGTTTATCCAGGTGCCTAGAGAGAGATGCTATATGGTGCTAAGCTGAGTCATCCACATAAGATGTTCCCTTGGGTTTATCCAGGTGCCTAGAGAGATGCTATATGGTGCAGAGCTGTGTCATCCACATAAGATGTTCCCTTGGGTTTATCCAGGTGCCTAGAGAGATGCTATATGGTGCCGAGCTGTGTCATCCACATAAGATGTTCCCTTGGGTTTATCCAGGTGCCTAGAGAGATGCTATATGGTGCCGAGCTGTGTCATCCACATAAGATGTTCCCTTGGGTTTATCCAGGTGCCTAGAGAGATGCTATATGGTGCCGAGCTGTGTCATCCACATAAGATGTTCCCTTGGGTTTATCCAGGTGCCTAGAAAGATGCGATTTGAAGTCCAAGGAACCAGCTTATCCTCCTAAAGAAAAAAAAATCCAGGGCCTCGTGATTTCGTCCAGCGACGTCGACGCCATCGTCACATTGTGAAGGACGTATGCCAGAATAAAATAATTATTATAATAGATGTATGAGTTTTGAAACATAATTTTTCAGACACATTATAAATAATACATATTGTCTACGTCCATGACGTCCGTGGCGTTGTCACGTCTTCACAACTAGCATTTCTGATACGCTCCTGAACATGAAAGTTACAAACCTCAAACCAGCAGCAATCTAATTCAAAGTATTTCAAGCGTTCTCTAGCGTTGACACTTGGATTTTCACATGTGCCGTTAAAGAAATATATTATACCGATATTTCTATTTTTTAAAATTCGTTTGTAAGTTCAAATCGTAATCCAGCTCCAAAGAAATAGCATAGCTGTGAGCAGTTGAAATTTAAAACTTAATAATAAAAAACAGTGTGCTCAAATCGAAGTTGTGAAATAAGAAAAGATGTTGGTGGATGAGACTTGAAATGAAGATAATACATGCCAGACTTTCACCATAAGACTCAAATAATCTATTACCTTATTCTAAACCACGTGAGCAATCTGAGAAAAGTTAATGATTGTGAGAAAGCTTACACCTCCACGACAAATGATGGGACCGTACTGCTCCCAATAGGAACGTGAATAAAACTTAGTTTGCTTAACCGGTGAGTTTATCATAGGAACAAAAAATGGAAAGGCTTTGAGTTATTGTTGATAATGTGTTGAGTATTTCTTTCAGGCTAATTTAATCTCACAAAAAGTTGTCTTTGGTTTTCTTTATTTTATTTTATTTTTTTTTTTCGTTTTCATTTAAGTGGCGGGGTGAAAAAATAATTCAATGTTTGTACAAAACTATTCACTTTAAAAAAAGATTGATGGCTTTAAATTAATTCGTGCTAGTGACTGCTAATTCATGGCGAAAGGTATTGTTCCAATTAAATTATAAAGATATTTTTATGTTAAACCGAATTCCTAAAATGTGGCAAAATACCTTTTTATCATCTATTGCAACAAGTATCGGATAGGTCAAATTGTTTTTGTGCTTTTGTTTTTTGATGTCCCTTAATTTGAATTAATTAAATTAATGAGTACAAATTTCGTTATTTAGGAATGAAGATATTTTTTTTTTAATTTAAATTCTAAGTTAACTTATATTTTCTCAAATTCAATTTTAAATATATTGAACACTTTATTCGAACATTGTTTAAAAACTTGCCATGTGATCCCAATAAAAAAAATATTTTTGAAATTAAAAATATTATTGTTTTTTAATGGGGACTTCATAGCGATTTTAAAAAACAACTTTCTGTACATCAACTTAAAGTATCGAACTTTCATTCTAACGTTGTGTTAACTAAACGAGTCAACAAAATATGTGCGTGGGTGGGTGGTGTACAGTGAGGCGACGTTTCTGATCCCCCTCATATCTCTACAAACATTGTAGCCACGGGGTTAGCCTGCACTCACCAAGACCACCATTGGGCCCATCATTCAACAAGGACACCTCTGACCTAAGACTCGCCAAGAACATATCTGACCTAAGACTCGCCATGAACACATCTAACCTAAGACTCGCCAAAAATACATCTGACCTAGCACTCCCCAAGATCAACCATATCGTGACATTTCCAACAATGACCATGGAACCTTCATTAAGAATGTCATGGGACCTAGCATTGACAAATAACAAAATACCTTGGGGCCCAGCATTGACCAATATCAAAATACCTTGAGACCTAGCATTCACAAAGAACAAAACACCTGGAGGCCTATAATTCACCAATAACAAAATACCTTGCGACTTATAATTAATAAAGAAAAAATACCTTGAGACCTAGCATTCTCAAAGATCAAAATACCCTGTTATCTATCATTCACAAAGAACAAAACACCTTGAAAATTATGATTAATAAAGAAAAAATACCTCGAGACCTAGCATTCTCAGAGAAACAACATGGTATATTAAGCACTAACCAAGATCTTCACGGGAACATAGCACTTGATAAGTAACACACGATACGTACTATTTCTAAAAGACGATGGTTTATGGTTTAGCTTTCATTGTTGCCGCATGGCACAATTGGCCGATAACCAACATCAAAACGTAACAGCGTCATTGTTTTAAGAAAATATATATAATTCCATTTGACATTGTCCGAGATTTATTGTCTTAATACAAGTTAAACTGAGGCTAGCGAGCGATTTATTGTTTACAGTATGAGTCTCAAGTGATTTGCTGTTTGAACAAACAGAAGCAGCTCATCAAGTCGCTATCAGCATGTAAAAGCCTGCCATGAGCAATGGGGATGGTCCACTGGCTCGCAGATACCTGGAAGTCAAAATAAAATAGCTTAATAGTTGTTTTCAAACAAAGGATTTATTTCCTCTAAATAAAAAAGAACGGTCTGCACTGAGATGAGAGATGAAAAGTTTAGATCAGTTTCAGCAATATTTTCAGACGGTCCTGTCAGACCAGTAGCGTATCGGGGGAAGTGCCGCCTATGGCAAGCATGAAATGGCACCGCTGACCGAAAACAGCGCCCACTTGAATTCGGATTCAGTTGGCTTATTGGGGTGACGGGTGGATGGGGGGATTGCTGCACAATGGCTAAATTTCCATCTTTTTTAGTGCCTCCATGAATAATCATTGCTTGGCTAGCCATGGCCCAAATGTTGTAGCATCGGAAATATCAATATGATATTGTTGGTTTACAGCAGAGATGTTTTTCATGAAAACTCGTCTGGTTTTATCGGTTAATTGTATTCCACAATGTATGTGAATAGTTAGATCAAAGCACCAGGGTTTCCCGAGAAATGATTTCTTGAAGATTAAGTCATGTGTGCCCATTACTTCGATCTGCAGATATTGTATTCAAAAAGTTGGACAAAACAAGTAACTGCCCTTTCTTAATGACCAAAAGTTGTTTTCAAATGTCAAAACCTGGGTGTGTCGTTGCTGCCGGAAAGTCGTCAAAAGAATTTTTCGTCCAAAGACAGTTGGGGTCGCCCAGTTCCTCTCCGTTGGAGATCCCATCCTTGTCGGAGTCTTGGAAGCACAGAGTCTGAGTCCAGACATGTCCAGCCGCGGCGAAGTCCTAATGATAAACAAACATTGCCCTTTTTTTAAACTACGTCGATAGTGTAACTGAACTGGGCTCTGAGCATACATTAATCATTTTATAAGATAAGATAAGTGAAGATAAGAAAAGATAAGATTCTTTTAATGATCCAATTAAAAGGAAATGTTTTTGGGGTTTTTAAAATCTAAACGTGTACTTATTCAATTTCAGCACATATATAAATACATAATTAAACCATTTTGCTATTAGAACAATTTAAACACATGACATCTGAAGTATTTCTCTGGCATAAACAAATGCTATCATATATTTGAAGGGGAAATAACGCTCGTCGTGGCAATTAATGACTTGAATGGTGATCATTTCGTTTGTAGGAGGGAGCACACTGGTAAATTTGTGCAGATTTACAGAAATCCAATTAAAGTGGAATCGGATATTCGTACTTTCATCAGATATTTTTTTATTTAAAATCTTTGTACTGCCCCCATAGCTAAGCTAAGTGTTGCCATGCAAGCTAAACGATGTAAAGTGTATTCTTGTTCAAACAAGTTCAAACTACGACACATGAAACACAACGAATGTTACTTGCCTTGCATTTTATTGCAATGAATTGATTGTTATTATAAATCGATCGACTTACCCAATGATACAATGGTAACTCATTGACTGATATGGGGAAAATATGTTTTGCTTCTAATTCGCAATAAACAAGAAACTTTGCCGGGTGGAGCTATTTAAAGATATTAAACGTGCCACTTACCAATCCGAACTCATTACGAGGCCCCGTCCCATTGGCGTTAAAGTGGCCTACTCCAATCCAGAGGCCGATTCGGCAAGGGTGTGGTACACGGTCCCCATTGGGGATGTCACTTTGGTATCGAGGAAAGGCCGCGACCAGCGTGAGGACTGCGATTAGGTACAGGAAGTAAAACATATTAACTTTATTTTATTTTTTTCAGTGGCGCCGAGAAACAGTGGATTGTGTGACTCGAGAGACAGACTTAGGGAATAATACAACAGTTAGAGGTCTGTGTATCAATCTTCAGACGCATATATGTGTGTTTTTTTTTTGCTCTCACTGAGATAGACGGCCTGCTGACTGTCAGAAGAAAAAAATGCAAAGCCCACGCAGTGATCCTGTCTTATGGTGTTCAGTACCCTGAAAATCTCGAACATACAAAAAAAATAAAAAAATAAATATATTAAAAAAATAATATATTTCTATTGAATTTTTACATAACTACACCGTCTCTATTAAATACGAGGTAAACTGCTCATTCCTGCCACAGACAATCTGGATTGGAACAAGCTTCCAAAAGCACTGGTGGAGGCTACTACTACACTTGACATATTTGCGTCTATTGCCTCCTCCCTTCCAACCCCCCCCCCCCCCCTGGGCCCTTAACATATAGAAGAAGAAGGCATGTGTAACGATGGCTTCGGTTTCAGTTTTTTTGGCTAGTGGGCATCCAAATGATTTATTTTTTTAAGAGGTACTGTGTGTCAGTCAATGTTATTTTTTTCTATCGTTCGTTGTTGTTTATAAAACCATTTTAAAACAACTTCATCAAAAACTTCAAAATAAAATCATAATTGATGAAGGCTCTAAGTCGAAACGTCCAAATCTTTTGGTCCTGTCTAAAATTTTAAGTTTAGCATACCTTGTTTTTATATTTTAAAAAACAAATCACAATTGCATTTTCTTTGATTATTGTCTGGCAGTTACATATGGCCTAATAAATTAACAAGTTCATTTTTTAAAAAAATAAAATTGTGTTGATTTAGTTTTATTTCTCGTACAAATTACATTTGCGTAACCTACGGAGACCCATGTTTGGTGCCAATTTGCTTTGAGAGAAGAAGCTAGATGGCCTTAAACAGGTACGTCTTGAGGATTCTGTCCTTCCAAAATGAAGGTGGAAAAAACGATTTAGGGGGACTTTGAATATAATTTGATTTGTGACACAGTCGTCCATGTTGTCTTCTTGAGTACAGTATGGCATGAAATCGATGATTTGGGTGAATAATAATCATTAATTTTGACGTGTTACTTACTTAAGAATCACTTTGTTCCCACAAATTCCTTCTGGTTATGTCTTTAATTTTTAGACACACACGACTTCAGGATAAATTTCTAACGTCTGGAAACACACAAAAAAATGGTTTGTCTCAAGGTTCGTCATCATTCTTTCATTGTCTATGTTCACGGTTTACGAGGGGACGAGGGGCATTGAGGTAAAATATTTCTACCTTTAATTTCAATTTGATAACTTAATGTTTTTACTTGCACAAAATGCTTTTGTCATTAATCTTACTTAAGGTTTATCGCAGGAAAGACTCCCCCACACCCATACACTTGGTAAATGTCTGCGCCGGTCACGACCAACGGTTTCGGTTCAAAACTCATCAATTACACGAGAACCTTGTTAGAAAATTTTGGAAGCCACCGTCTAACTGGGGGTTAAAATATACAGTGGAGATCTAAGCACAGCTTGTTTCGTGAGATAAGATAACGATGCACTGAGTTGTGCCTAGCAATGGGCTAAATCACAAGAGATGGTTCCTCCAGCATTCGAAACCATGAAGAACGATAACTAAGTTTTTGCCAGCAAATCGAACATTTTGAGATTTGGAACTATTCAAATAATAAGTGTGGGGGGAATGAAAGACTTAAATTAATATAGGTGGCAGAATAAAGTAAAAAATGGCTGGGCGTGTTAGATTTCATGTCCAAGTCTTTTATTACTTACAAATATTGCATCCACTTTCTTTTGTATTTAGGCCGTACGTTCTTGAAAGCTCAAATAGATTTTTTTTACAACTTCGCATCTCGGTTCACTTTTGCCATAAATTCATGACGATACAGTAGGAATAAAATATTAAAACTCTATGATTTGATGTTAATGTATTATTATATTGTTATGTTTAACAGAATTATAACAGTACCGCGCCTTGTTAGTTAGTCTTGTTATTGAGTCTTGTTATTGAGTCTTTTTATTAAGTCTTTTATTCAGCCTTGTTATTTAAGTCTTGTGATTGATTATTGTAATTGAGTCTTGTTGTTGAGTCATGTTATTTAGTCTTGTTATCGAGTCTAATTATTGAGTCTAATTATTGTGTCTTTTTATTGTGTTTCTGCTTTATGCATAGTAAAATAACATTTACTGTCGTATGATTCAATAAACTTTCAACTAAGAAGACTGCGAGACGTCTTATGTGTCCTTCTACATCTCCTCACACACGTTGATGATCTCTACTATTTGGAGCTGTTGGCCTTGCGACCAAAACATAAAAGGTCATCACCTGTCTCACTCAGCCACAAAGCACCCCCCCTCCCAACCAAAGCAGTTGAGTTTTTAGTTTTCTCAGTAAGTCTAAACATCAAATCAATGTTGTCTTTGAGACAATTTTCTTCCCCCCCCCCCTTTTTCACTTTCTCTTTTTTTTTCTTAGAAACTCGGTCTTAGCTGTCTTCTTTGTTTAGTTGTGACGTAAGGTGGATCTTAAGATAAACACGTTGGAAAGCTCAAAGATTAAGAGTTATTTTAATAATCATTTATTCGTGACTTCCCTAAAGATGTGATACTCTATCAAAGACATTCATTCACATAACCAGGTGCACGTGCTAAGAATATTTCACACACAGTAAAGCTTGTTTGTTAACCATTCGATTTTATACTGAGGTGGCCCCGGGGGGGGGGGGGGGGGGGGCATTCTTAGCAAAAAAAAATGGTCCGTAGCGCTATTAGGGGTGAAAAAAAAAAAAAGAATTTTTTAATTTTTTTTTTTTTTTTTTAAAAAAAAGAAAAAAACCCAAATTATTCTCATTTGTCTAAAAAAAGAAAATACTACCTAAACAATAATGGTACGTAGCGCTATTAGGGATGAAAATAAAGAAATGCATTTTTTAATATTTTTTTTTATTTATCATAAAAAGGCAAAAATAATTTTTGAAATAAAATTATTAGCACGTTCCGCATAATTCAGTGGTGACGTCATCAGCACACCTCTTGGGTCTTGGTTGACACAAATGGCAAATAAAACATTTGACCATAATGCATTCATATTTAACACACACAAAAAACTTTTCTCAGACACAAGTTAAACAGCCATTATAAAATAAACAAATCACCATAACTCCTAATAATCTGTAATAGATTTTGGAATCAAAGATGTCAGCTCGGTCTCACTGTTAAAAAAAAAACAGTTTAAATTACGTTGTCTTCCAAAAGAACTATTTTAATTGATTAAAATGCACCTAACAGGACAACACTGGCACTCAGCACAGGAAAGCTTGCCACGCGCATGCGCTGCTACCTATGGGCTCACAGATGCCTGAGGATGAAAGAAAGAAAACGAGTGGTTTAAGATAAACAAACGTATTGACTTTTCGGTGGCTGGATGACCTCATTCGTTATATGGATCAGGTTCGTTAAGCTGACTTCATTTTATAGGATAGACGGCAGCTGCAGTCTCAAAAATGATTTTTGTTTTTGGCTACGTTAGCTGCCGTATTAAGAATGACTTTTGTCATGGCTGTCATGGCAGCAGTAGTTATACAATGACTTTGTTTAGGGGCTTACGATAGCAACAGTTGTATATGCCTGCAAGCTACGACTTTAAATTACCTGGATGGGTTGTAGGCGCTGCTAAACTTATCGTGGAGGTCGGTGTCCAGCGGCAGGTCGGGTCACCTAATTCCTGACCATTGGTCCTTCCATCCCTGTCAGAATCTTTCTGGCATAATGACTGTGTCCAGACGTGGCCAGCCGCTGCGAAATCCTGTTGAATAAAGCGAATGATCACTGATTACATAAAAGCTTTAGAAACCAGCTTTAAAAAGAAACAAATTGCCAAAGTTTTTTTTTTTTCACTTGCATTTATGAAAATTTGAACAGAAGTTGAGCAGTCATTCCAGACCAGGTCATGAAAGTCTAATGACCACTGCTGTAATACCAGAATGCTTTCTTTCCAAAAAGAAAAATTCCATTCTTTCGTTAGCCCGCGTTAGTCAAAAGTTAACACTTTGTAGTCTGTGCCAAGCCCAACAACCGTCTCCACAAGCGATGACAGCATTGTCTTGCCGCATCCAGAAAGACTACAAGGGATGTCCAGGTAGTGGTCAGTCGAGACGATGAGCAAGTGAAAGAGATCTTCAACAAAGTAATTACTGTTTTATTTTTGTGTTCTTTTTTCATGTTTAGATTTCCAGCGACTTCTTTTGTTATTGTGTGTGTGCGTGAGTGTCCGTGAGTGTGTGTGTGTGTGTGTGTGTGTGTGTGTGTGTGTGTGTGCGCGCGCGCGCGTGTTTCTGTGAGTGTGTGTGCACCCCAAGTAATTGTTAATTGCTTTCTTTTGGACAAATATTTTTTAAGAAGTAAAGTTCCTTTACCGGACAACATTTGTTTTGTGTGTGTCTGTTTTAACCGATAATCTTTAAACGCGAGGTGACTCCATATTAAGGTGACTCCATATTAAGGTGACTCCATATTAAGGTGACTCCATATTAAGGTGACTCCATATTAAGGTGACTCCATATTAAGGTGACTCCGTATTAAGGTGACTCCATATTAAGGTGACTCCATATTAAGGTGACTCCATATTAAGGTGACTCCATATTGTGGTGACTCCATATTGTGGTGACTCCATATTGTGGTGACTCCATATTGTGGTGACTCCATATTGTGGTGACTCCATATTGTTGTGGCTCCATATTGTGGTGACTCCATATTGTGGTGACTCCATATTGTGGTGACTCCATATTGTGGTGACTCCATATTAAGGTGACTCCATATTGTGGTGACTCCATATTAAGGTGACTCCATATTAAGTGACTCCATATTAAGGTGACTCCATATTGAGGTGACTCCATATTGTGGTGACTCCATATTAAGGTGACTCCATATTGAGGTGACTCCATATTGACGTGACTCCATATTGAGATGACAACATATTGAGGTGACTCCATATTAAGATGACTCCATATTAAGGTGACTCCATATTAAGTTGACTCCATATTAAGGTGACTCCATATTGTGGTGACTCCATATTGAGGTGACTACATATTGAGGTTACTCCATATTGAGGTGACTCCATATTAAGGTGACTCCATATTGAGGTGACTCCATATTGTTGACTCCATATTGAGGTGACTCCATATTGAGGTGACTCCATATTAAGGTGACTCCATATTGAGGTGACTCCATATTGTGGTGACTCCATATTGACGTGACTCCATATTGACGTGACTCCATATTGACGTGACTCCATATTGAGATGACAACATATTGAGGTGACTCCATATTAAGATGACTCCATATTAAGGTGACTCCATATTAAGGTGACTCCATATTAAGGTGACTCCATATTAAGGTGACTCCATATTGAGGTGACTCCATATTAAGGTGACTCCAAATTAAGGTGACTCCATATTAAGGTGACTCTATATTGAGGTGACTCCATATGAAGTTGACTCCATATTAAGGTGATTCCATATTAAGGAGACTCCATATTAAGGTGACTCCATATTAAGGTGACTCCATATTAAGGTGACTCCATATTAAGGTGACTCCATATTAAGGTGACTCCATATTGAGGTGACTCCATATTAAGGAGACTCCATATTAAGGTGACTCCATATTAAGGTGACTCCATATTAAGGTGACTCCATATTAAGGTGACTCCATATTAAGGTGACTCCATATTGAGGTGACTCCATATTAAGGTGACTCCATATTAAGGTGACTCCATATTGAGGTGACTCCATATTAAGGTGACTCCATATTAAGGTGACTCCATATTAAGGTGACTCCATATTGATGTGACTCCATATTGAGGTGACTCCATATTAAGGTGACTCCAAATTAAGGTGACTCCATATTAAGGTGACTCCATATTGAGGTGACTCCATATTGAGCTGACTCCATCTTGCTGACATATATGTGGATAATTCTAGTGGATTCGTTATATCATCGTTGAAATACTTGCAGCTCCACTTATGATGGTCCATACTAAAGATAGTATGTGAGTGAACGTTATCTAGAGCAGCCTTTCTCAAACTTGACGGACCGGGGCACAACTTTCAACATCGCGCCAGGGACCGGTCCCTGGTGCCAGATTTATTAATTAAAATTTCTTTATGTTTGACCATAAATATTCCAGCTATGCCGACCGGAAAGGGATAAAGAATACCCATATGGAATTGGGAGACTGTGGAGGAGAGGGTCATTTGAAGATTATGTTGGGACATGTAGTCTCTGGGATAAGAAAAGTATTACCGTTTTAAAAAAAAGGCAAGTTGTTTACAATGTTTCTCTGGACACTTTTTATCTTAACCAGTGTTTAGCGAGTGTCCATTTTGCTATATAGATCTAGCTCACTTATTGTACGTTATAACACAACATTTAGATTCTCAGGCCTAAAAAAAAAGGCTGCCAAATGAACAATCAATAAATTCATTTTTCATGACTTCTTTATTGATTTTTTTTTTAGCTCTTCCACCAGGGGTTGAGGGGGGGGGGAGTGTGGGGGTGTGCATATAACCTTTACACCTGCTCGCGTGGGATGTGGTCGCTTTTGGTACAAAAGATTGTGATGCAACTGTCGCTTCTGTTCAGACTGTTTGAAATAGATCCGTGTGCTTAGCGGCAAATGCGAATTAGTGTAAATTTAAAAAGCGATTCCTATACAGAGTTACCGTTCAATAATAATGTATGAAAACGGTTATATTGGCTCTTATGTTTTTGCTTGTGTTAAACTCTCTCAATAGCTTGATTATCTATTCCAAGCTTGTGGTCGGGAGTTCAATCCCCACCAAAGACCAAGTCAAGCAAAAACACCACCAGTACCCCGGGTTGAATGGGGCTCGTTAACATTGGGTGGCAACTATGAGAAGGAAACTCTGAATCAAAACCCGGAGAAGGAGTCCCGTAGGCCGTATGCGGACACATTAATACAATGGATGAAGTCCGACAACTCATGCGACGCTACTGTATCAATCATGTAGGGTGTTCCCTTGGGTTAGCCAGTTGCGTAGAGAGAGGCGATTGGCAGTCTAAGGTACCAGCTTATCCTCCTAAAGAAAAAAATGCCAGGCCTTGTGATTTCCTGCTGCGAAGTCCACACCATCGTCACATTGTGACGGACTGGTGCCGGAAAACAAAATTGTTTTAAGTTGAAATAAATAATGATCTTAGTAAGTATTCAAATGTCAAATTAAAATTAAATGTGTGTTACCAGGCCAAATTCATTTCGGGGTCCGGCGCCATTGGAAGAAAAATGGCCCACACCTGGCCAGTCGCCGATACGGCAAGGGTCGGGGACAATATCTCCGTTAGGTATGGCACCCTGGTACCGTAGGAAGGCGGAGGCAGTGCAGATGGCAGCAGCTAGGTAGACCCAGGTCAGCATAGTGGCTGTGAACAGACGGGCAGACGCTTTACATATTCAGTTATTCACGTATGTTAAATTATTTTAAAAGTGGGTAATCAGATCTACGTGTTCGGTGCATTTGTAATATGTCCATCTCTTTTCAACAGCTGCACCTACCCTACTCGACATTGAAAGATCCCCCCACCCCTCCAAAATGGATAAACCGCTCAGATGTTAACCTCCTATTTGTTAACTTTTGGTGGCATCCTTACGTGTCAAAGTTTCTCCATCGTAAACGGAACAATTTACGTTTACAGAATTATATAAATGGTTAAGAAATTTGGAGCTTACCGGTGGAACAAAAGTCGAAGTAGCAATTATCTACGAGTCTCAAATTCTGTTTGATTTAACTCTTCACAATTAACTTCTTTATAACTGTGAACCAAGTAAGTTCATTTGACTTTTAGATAAAGGAAGATCATTTTTTCTTCTATTTTTGTATACGTTGGGCTATTGACCTGTTGACCTACATATCTTAGCTCACATAGGACCTAAATAATTCTTTTTATTTCTCGGTTTAATAAACTTTTTTTTTTTTAATTTATCTAACGGTTTTTTTTTTAGCTTAAAATTAATTTTTTTTAATCGTTTAATTTCAATGCATGCGAAATTTTTAAAAATTGCTCTGACTAGATGTTAAAAGAAGTTTAGACATTGATGTTAAGAACAGTCTAGAAATTGATGTTACAGACAGTTAGAGCAAAGCTGCTACACCAACTCAGCGCATGGCCATAATTGGTGCCGCCTCTGGTAGGCCTTGAGTTTTTTTTTTGCTTCGGTATCTGAAATTAAACTTCCAGGTTTCTCTCTTTGTATCAACGGCTCTAAAAATGTTTTCACTGCACGGAGTTGCATATTCCTGACTACGTTTGAAGTGACGTCATCTCATCCCACTCAGTTTTGGGTAACGCTGTAAATCATTGGATGTCTAAGACGAGTAACTCCCACAGGGCTAGAAAACTTAAGAAATAAATAAAATTTTGCAACACCCCAGCATCTAACCTGAACAAAATAAGAAGCCAATGTAATACTATAGATTCGTCCAACTGGCGTTTTATTGTTCAAAATTTAGCATTTGTCCACACAAAAAAATAAAGTAATTAAATTAATTTAAGAACAGCTAAATGAAATAAAATTAGTAAAATTTCAGCATTAATTAGTACGTAATATATTTACTAGTGATCATTACAAATAACGACGGGCTGGCGTCTCTCTGGCGCACCAAGTTCTGAACCTAGATTTAAAAACAAATGCGGCATCCACGACTTAGGTTCGAGTCCATGTCTATCAAGAAAACGATTAATCCACACTTGCACCTTTATCTTAAGTGTCTTGAGACACGGGGATAGTGTTCTTACCGGCGTGTTTGAGACGGATGTCAGACGACGTGTGGCCCTGGTTGAGGCACGTCTCCAAGTTTTTATAAGTTTCAACTCAAGTGTAAGGGACCTTCTCATTGGAGTCACGACCAAAACACGCGAACTAGAACCAAAATGGAGACAGACCACCTTACCATAATCTAAAAGTGCCAGACCTTTAACCTCCCCCCCCCCCGGGCTCCTTTCCCCCCCCCCCCCCACACTTTTTTTTNAAAATCTTTGAACGAATTTCTCCTTTATATTTATTTTCAGATAACATAATACAAGAGAAAAAAAAAAGGGGGGGGGGAGAACTATGTTACTCAAACAATGTGTTTTGTTTGCGTTGGTACAGGGGTTATCTTCATTTGAGTAAGTGCTTGGGTTGCTTGTCTAAACAACTAAATTCAACCAACGTATGTTGCTTCCAATGTGTTGGGTCGGAGTGAGGAGGTGCAGAGTAGCACTGTGACGCGATATCGAAACGAACAGAATCACATCAACGTTATGAAGTGGTTTTTGTTAATTCAATCCTAACTCTCTATATTTTTTGTCCTCATCTTAAACATATTTTTTTTTTAATTTCCATCGTTCCCACCGCCCCCCCCCCCTGCTCTGTCCCAAAAAGTTGAAGAAATTAATTGTTAATGATTAGTTCTTTATTTTCAATTGCTAATTTTTAATTGTTATTTTTTTTAAACTTGTTAAATCTTTATTTTTTATTGTTCTTTGTTAATTTTGTTATTGTTAAAAAGTGAAAGGTAAACAAATCTTTATAATTTCTGAATTATAGAATGTTCAAAAGACAATCAAGATTTTGCCACGGCTTAAGTTGACCAAGATGTAGCAATTAATTGGGAAACACATCCAGGAAGGTATGCGGTTCTTATCTAACGTTTGGTGAGAACTGACAGGATGGAGCAAACGACAAGGCACGCTTTGCGTCGTGTTACAACTGGATCAACACCTTGCCGCACAAAGTAAATGATACTTTTTTTTTAAATTCTTTATATTAACTTCGTTTTTGTTCGTGTGCTTAAGGCAAAAAAAAATTCTTCGGATGGCTAATTGACCCACTTCCCGTCTTCCTATCGAACTGAAACGTGGCACATAGACTCGCTGCAGAGGACAACACACTATTCCAACCCCCCCCCCCCCCCCCCCCCAAAAAAACTTTTTTTCCGTTTTTTCAAGGAGAATATGCATATGATTTGTCCCAATGGGCTCGTGTTTCGGTTTGGAGATTATTTGTCTAGTTTTGTCTACGTGCTTTGTATTTGTGACGTTTTCTGAGTATGTAGTTAAAAATAAAATGAAGTTTTAAAAGTGGAAAATGGAGGAAATGTGACATATGTTTTCCTCTGAATTTTACCCATCTACATAACGCCTCCTGGTTAATAATAAATCACGTACAAATAAATAAATGCAAACAAAAAATGCAATGAAAGAATTTATACGAAAAACATTTTGTTTAGAGGGTTGATTAGTTATAAATGATGTCGAGAAGGGGGCTCAATCTCATGAAGCCAGTAGGAGGGCCACAGCTGAGACACGCAGGCTTAGCCCGAAAAAGCAACATTAGATCACCAACTACTACAGCAACCATCCCCTGCCAGCGGTGCCAGAGATTATTCCTGAGCACGGATCGGACTAGCAAGCTACCTACGAACTCATCGTGACTCTCCCCCCTGTCCCCAACCGGATGACTAGATGGTCCTATTCGATCTTGACGGTCGAACAACAACAGTTATAAAAGATTCGCATGATTTAATGCGGCTCTACCTTTATCTCAGGACGGCACCTAATAAATAATAGATGAAAAAGTTTCTAGTTGTTAAGCAGTACGAGTATCGACTCAAATAAGAAATTAAAGTATATCAATCAATTACTCAACAATGAACGATTATTGAATAATGAAATAAAATTTAGCAATCTGCACCTCATTGTATTTCAGAAGTGTCCGCTTCTGAGAAAGGAAAAAAAATGTTGTTACATTTACTTTATTATACGTTATAAGAATAATAATAAGAATAAAAGTTCACTTTCTATTTTTAACGAAAGAAACTTTATTGATGGATTATTTATAGTTGCTCCGATGTATGTCTTGTTGGTGAGCATTCAAAAAACTTTACGTGTCATTCACAAATTACATCACGTAAAAAAATGACCTTTTCAGACCCCCCTCCCCCCCGTCACCAAGTGGCACCAATTCTTTACCCCTTCCCCCCCCCCCCCCCCCCCCCCCCCCCCCCGTAGAGTAACGTCCCACCTAGAACAATTCATTCAAATCATACATTAAATTTCTTAAGTGAATTACGTATTTATGTTATTCTTTAACATTTTAACATTAATGGATCAAGATGATTTGCTATTAGAAAACTATGACGTAAACGCGAAACAACGAAATAATCCCCCAAGCCGAACATAAACGGCCACAACAGTTTTTCGGTGTGCGCAGAGGGTGTGGCGATTGAGTTTCACGGTACCTGTAATGCCTGTAAATTTTAGATTTAATTTTGTGTGACGTCACACATTTTTACCCCCCCCCCCCTTTTCCCTTTCCCTTTCCCCCTGTCACAAAGTGTCACAAATTCTCGACCCCCTCCCCCACCTTCCCCTTCCCCCACCTGAGCGTGACGTAATTTGCGAACGATCCCTTTCTAAACATGAATCGCTGTTGTGTGTAAAGGGAATTAAACAAAATTTCAACTACTAAGAAGTTAAGCCAAATTATTATTTCCCTTGTTGCTGTGAGGTTTTTAATGCTGTGTGCTTAGATTTATTCGAAATGGTTTGGTAATGCTGTGTGCTTAGATTTATTCGAAATGGTTTGGTAATGCTGTGTGCTTAGATTTATTCGAAATAAATATTTCAGAGTGAAGGTCCCCCACTTGAAAAATCTCTATTTACTTATATGGATCCTGATAACTTATTTTCAAAGCAGAATCGAAACAAATAAAGGTGGGTGGCTAGGAAAAGTTGAATGTCACGGTGTGTGGAGAATAAAAATCATGTCAACCTACAGGCTACATCTTCCTGCCTGCCAACCCCCAGTTCATAAATGCCATCAGTGAGTAGCCCTCGCAACAAGTGAAGTAAAACCATGCACAGAAACATCGTTAACCCGCTCTGCAAACATAGGAGCCATAATGATCAATAGAGTGATCGCTGGCCCTCAAAATATAAAGGAAATATAGATGAACATATCAATATGCAATCTGAGATTTAGAGAAGTTAAAATAATTAGTTGATTACAGACTTTTTAAATTTGATTTTTTTTTTGCTCGTATGAAGTCCTGTTGTTTTGGTGTAAGCGTGAAATCGTGTTTTTTTGGTGTAAGCGTGAAGTCGTGTTGTTTTGGTGTAAGCGTGAAGTCGTGTTGTTTTGGTGTAAGCGTGAAGTCGTGTTGTTTTGGTGTTAGCGTAATGTGTGTGGGAGGGGGTGGTGAGTGTTGATTGAAAGAATTCAGAATCCAAAAATTCATCAGTGCCACGAAAAACAAACCAAGCAAAGAAATAGTTAAACATAAAAGAACAAGTCATTTTAGTGTCTTTCCATAACCAAAAGATTACAGACTTTGGTCGAATCGTTCATAATGATTCATATGTTGTCAACCTTTGTCTGTAAGAGGAGTGAGCTCAGTTATTTTTAACATTTTACCGATAGTTTAAGGGGAGTGGGCGGCGTCCATTAAGTAAGTCACACTCCGCAGGGGGGGGGGGGGGGGGGATCTAAGAAATTGTGACAGTTTGTCGCGGGGGGGGATTAAGTAAGTCACACTCCGCAGGGGGGGGGGGGTGGGGGGATCTAAGAAATTGTGACAGTTTGTCACGCGAGGGGATTGGGTTAAAGATCGTGTACATTTTGTATGTTTTTATCTTACAAAACCTGAAATTTATAGTGATGTTGAACTTTCGTTTTGTGATGGATCAATTCTGACAAAAGTTATCACCTTTATAAATGTGATTGTCTTGTTAAGTGTTGTTGTTTTTTTAAATTAAATTTTATTTGTCTTTTCATTTAAATTTTAATTCCCAAGTGTAACGTACTTTACAGTGTGGGGGGCCTTGAGATTTGTAAACGGTGATGGGGTAAATTGTCCCCAAAATTGCGTTACATACCTTATGAAAGACCTCTTAACATTCCTAAATTGTTTATAAAAATATTGAAAGACTACACTAAGCATATGTGACATCTTCAGACGAGTAACGCAACTGCGCATGCTTCATGTCATTCAGCAAACGGAGTGACAATAGGTACCCATGTACCTATATCAGCAATTGGCTATTCGGAACCGGCTGGTTACGTGAGGGCTTTATTATATTCGGTTTGTTCACGTGACGGTTATGACGGATACTTCCTGTTGGTTTGCCATCTGAGAGCCATTACTGTCAATCGAGAAATGTGCCATATTTTGAAGACTTTGATGAACCGGTAGCGTTGAAGAAACACGAAGAACAATGTGACGTACAGCTAAAAACAAGTAAGAATACATTTATGTTTATAATTTTATTGTATTTTTTAATTCTATTTCAAATATAGTTCTATAGGTAATCTACCACTTGAGCGTCGGCCAAGAAAAAATCCAGCACCCACGTCTGTTCAATTTTGCTCTAATAAGCCACATTCTTTGTGCACTGTAAAATAGCACTTTTTAAACAATCTAATCGATTTTTTAAACCTTATACTTATACAAGAAGACATACCTCATTAACTTCACTTGACTCTATCAAAACAATATTTAATCGATACATTATTAGTAAGTGTGGTTGTTGATTGTCGTAGTACTAGAAATAGAATTAGATTAAGAAAAATTAAGCTTAGGCCTAAATATAGACTATTATAGGATTATAATAACAGTTGTTTATAATTATAACTGATATTGATATGTAGGCCTAATTTTAATAATATTGTCTGAAATAATTAATAAGAGAAAACGATTATTATTATTGACAAGTATTGTAAAACTATTAAATATTGATTCAATAATTATGAAGAACGATAAACTGTGCACCGGTACCGT